ATTATACCATCGTGCGTGTTGCTCTTAGTTGCCATGGAGACAGCTCAACACGTTAGGCTGCCATTTGAATGCATTTCTTTTTTTATTACAATTGGAGAAAAGACTTGAAAAATACATGTACAATGATTGAAACCCTTTCTCTGTCATATTTGATTATAATAATAATAATAATAATAATAGGCATTTCTATAGCGCCATCTATCTAGATAATTCTATTCCGAGGCACATTTATTATTACCCCGGCTTTAGCCTAGCAGCCGTTTATACAGTTTATGGGTTTTTTATTAGATAGAATGACATTTTTAGACCATTTGAGCTACAAAAAGTAAAGCAACCAAACCAGCCCTATCTCTTTGGTTTGACGAAGCAAAGCCACGAGAAACTTTTGCCAGAGGATTTGGACATGTATAGACTGGAAATTGAGAGCTGGGTATATTTTACCATAATTAAAGAGTAGTTACAAGATTGTGTGCATAATGCTAAATGAAGCTGGAAATTCAAAAGAATGATATAACTAACCTTGTAGAGTGCGAAGCAATCATGTAAAGTACACGTATGTATAGCCATCTGATCAAAATACTACTGCAGTCATGTGGTGACATCATGCATGTACATGTATTTCATTTCATAAAACATTTATGATAACCTTTTGTGTCGGCGCACTCATGATCTCACTCAAGCGTACAGTCATCCCAACACGGCACTAATATCCTTTGGCAAGAAATTAACCTGCACTTGCTACTCTCCACCCAGGTGTTAAGGTACCCGGTAGGATGCCACCGCCAATGTTGGTCAAACAGTTTTTGAGCATGAAGTATGCCTTGCTGGATTGCTCCCTAGGGAGTGGAGATTGTGCACACAGTGTGTGCGGGCAATTATTGAATCCAATCACCTGGGTAATAGTATATCTGTAAAGCGCATAGAGACCTTTGTATTAAGCGCTATATAAAAAGCAGAATAATACATATTTGGTAATAATGTTGGATAGACTTTAGAGTTAAGAATGTTAAGAAGTATTCCTGATTAATTTCATTTCATTGGTTCTAAGCAGAGGGGAGTATAAAAGAAAATAGGAAGGTAAATATTGGAAGCATTTAGCGATTTATTGTAAGACTGCTGGAGAAGTAGATGGTATAATACATGCTTCGGCGAAATTTGCTCTACGATCATGCTATTTTGTAACTTCAATTCTGGAGAGTCTTGACCTAGCACCATACCTGAAAGTATCCACATTTCTGAACCAGATGTAAAACCCAATCACAAAAGTTAACCTTGCCATACATGTATATCTTTGATAAATATATTCCAGAGCATGTGTTGAATCATGATTGAAGAAAGGTGAGAATACCGTCATCTTGAGAGGGTAGAAGGAGGGCATTAGGAAGCTAATTGAACTTTGTCTCATGAATGTTTAATGAAGTGATGCATTTGGTTACCTTGACACCAGCTTGGTCTCTGAAACACTTGATACCATCCTTTGCTTCTAAAACTCAAATGAAAGAGAGATAGAGAATGAGAATGAGATGGATAGACCATAGTAGACAGGGATAGTGAGGAGAGAGGGATAGTGAGGAGAGAGGAAAAGGGAGAGAGAGAAAGAGAGAGAGAGAGAGAGAGAGGAGGTGCTTTTAGAGTGACTGATAGAGAGGGATGGAGACTGGAGAGAATGTAAAAGCAGAGCTACCGAGTGTCACGCATTAGGCGTGACGTCACGCATTTGGAGGGTCTGAAAACGGCTCTCACGCACGGCGCGCGCGCTAGATTTAAAAAAAACGCCATACCTATACGTGTGTTATACCCTCGCACGCGGGCTCGCGCGCCGAAAAATGAAAATGTCCGCATTGCCGATCTTTTACCTTGGCGTCTCTGTAAAAGAGATAGGAGAAAGTGAAAGGGACAAAGAGACACATACACCGATAAAGAGAGAGAGAGGGAGAAAGAGAGAGAGAGACACACACACAGATATGGAGAGATGGTAGAGATGGGGAGGGGAGTGAGATAGAAAGGGAAAGATGGGGAGATTAATGGAGAGAGTTAAGTGAGACAGAGACATGAAGAGAATGGTAGGGAGGGATAAAGAGAGAGAGAGTGAGAGAAAGGAAAAGAGAAAGAGAGAGAGAGAGAGAGAGGCAGAGAAGGGGGGGGGGTATTTACATTAAATTTCTTGAGCTTTCTCTTCTCCACTAGTGAATATAGAACAGGACAAAGAACAAAATTACACTTGAAAAATATATATTCTAATTAATCAATCTATCTGCACATGTGTCTGAATGGTTTTTGGTGGCGCCTCTCTGGTCGATCTCATTAAAGATATAACCAAAAGTAGTGCTAGGCAACAGATTAAACAGATTGCATCTTAAGCTCCAGTACGAGCAAGTATCCATTGATTCCCCCCACTTTCCTTTATACCGAGAGCCCTAAAAAAAGAATCAATAAGTAAGGTTGTGATTTGATTGGTTCTATAGATCCATTGGTTTGCTCAATTCAAGGTGAGTGTATACAGGAAGACATGTCTGTGAATCAAAGAAAACCTCTCTTTTCCATGTTAACCTACTATTAATGAAATACGTAGATGAATATCTGAGATATTGAATTGTATTTTCTATTCTTCTACTTGTGAAGTGATACTGCCTCCTGGCGACTATGCATATTTAGGTTGGTTTAGTCGAGTTATAAGCATATACATCTAGTAAATTATTTATACCCTTGCCAAGTTTTTGTAATGAAATAATTATGTCAACAACAAAAAAAACAATTTTTTCATCTCGATTTATGTTTCTGTAATGTGACATATTTAAGCTTACAACTAAAACTATTTAATAAAGGCCCTCATTCAACCAGTCCACCTTTCATTCTTGAGTTATGAAAACTCAAAATAAATCAAATTGACAAAGAGTACCTATGAATAATTTAGTCATTAACTGTATCCATACATGAATGATTTGTTCTTTACACCTGTCACAGTGCACTGTTCTTGTTCAATATTTGTTAACATTAATAAGTATATTAACTGTTGTGTCATTTTATTCATATGTTTATATGACATACAAGACAAATTTCCATTTATTACTCATGGATAATAAAGCATTGAATTGGATTGCATACCTGTGGTGTGTCATAAAATAATGGTTGCCTAGCAACAGCTTCATAATCGCCAAGTATCTAGCTTGACAGTTGATTAGTACTAAATGGTAATAGAAAAATTAGCAATTCTTTCGTTGAAATTGATCATAGTGTTGAATATTATGTTCATGATTTTGACATTTTCAATTTAAAATATTAGTGTCTAAAAGCTACGTAGCAATATTGATTGAAAAAGTCAGTGTATACAAGATTTCCATACGTGTGAATATTTACAAATGCTTTTACCTACAAGTGATGTGATGATAACAATGATAAAGGGTTAATGAATCTAAAGATATTCAGAAGGCTTTTCCAGATGTGCTTTTCATTTACTTTCTCCAACCATGTGTATATACATGCAACTGACTGATTTTTGTTTTCTTTGATTTAGGAGTATGTACAATTCCTACATTTGGCTTTAAAAAGGTCAAACAAATTTGATTTGTTGTTTTATGGTTAGAAAGAAATACTGTCTTCTGTAACAAGGTCAAACTTCAGAAATTTGCTTTGAAATCATGTTTTTATTGCCATGAAATGTTTTCAGCCCAATAACCATCGTTGTTCAGCATTAATTGGCTCTCATTGTTCTTATGTTTCTTTAATTTCCTGTCCAGCTTTATAACTTCTTCAACAGCATGATGCAAACAGTGAGCGAGGATGACAGTAAATCAAAGTACATCATTCAAGGATCCAATGAAGGTTAGTATATTGAGAGCAGTCAATAGTTGTTTTTTATATTATGAGCAGTCAATAGTTGTTTTTCATATAATGTCTGCTAACATACAAAAGGGCATTAACTACATGTATCTTTTAAAAGATATATTCAATGCCCTTCTGGCTCTCAGTCAGCAGATTATATTGATGTCCTTTGAGAGAGAGAGAGAGAGAGAGAGAGAGAGAAAGAGGGAGAGAGAGAGAGGGTGAGAGAGAGCGATCAGTTGGAAGAGAGTAAGTACTAAATTATCTTATTCCCATAGGGTGGTATTTGATAGCGCATCTTAAATTAAGCCTGTCTTAACTTAGTCCACACTTTTATGGAGTGACTGTTGCCAACTCATTTACCTTGTACAGATTATTTTAATGCTGCAATGAAAAGTGTCCAAAAATTTAATTTTGCAATGAAATGGGAAGAAAAAGATAATATGATTATGGACTAAGTCCTTGGTAGATTATCTTTGTCATGAATATTGAAGGAGGAAGATGGCACCTAGCATTCCATAGTGGTGTGAATTCAAATTCTTGTTTAGTCTGGACTTAGTCTCTGCTTAACTTATGAGAATACCAACCTAGAGTTTATGCAGGTGCTCCCAGATTCCTGAAGGCATTGGGTCAATACCATCCCAATTGTGAAGATTTCATGGTGTTTATAAATAAAACACAGTACGAAACCCAATTGGCATCCTTTGCTCATCTGGAATCTTGCCAAGGTACCACTCATCTTGAAAGATCAAATTCTAAAAAAAGTGACAAATTGCTAAATGTGACAAAGGTCTAGATATCACTTGTAATTTATTAACCTATCAACATGTTTCATGTAGATGATGTAGGCAGGCAGGGTATGTGTTTCCCTCGACTGAGCCGGCATAGAGTTACTATGCCATGGGTTCATTCTTTGCTTGTGATCTCTCAGGCAAAATCCACATGCTTAATGTTTTGATTGATCTTCATATTAAAAGAATGTGCAGTGAATTTATTCAGATTTGTTATTTTTAATTTAAAAGAGAAATTTTATAGAAATTTCATTGATGGATATGGACCCAAGGTCTTAAGTGTGTTTCTACAAGTATTTCAAAAGTACCCCTAGTTTGTAGAAAGAAGAAAAAAAATTACTCAATAAACCCCTCATTTAACATGAAACCAAGGAATATGGAACTTCAGTTTTTAGCTTGATTGAAATGAGGAGGCTTATTTTCATGGGCCCCTTTTTTGACGTTTCAAAGAGGCTCATAGAAAACTCAAGATCTCCTTCATGAAAACTCCCATAATTTTAGATCATGGTCGGATAGTCCATAAAATGAACATGAATTGCCCTTAAAAAGTACCCCTTTCTATAGATTCAGGAATGGACATCCTTAACATTGTCGTTTTTGTTCAGCTCTCCTCTGATGTGGAATTTAAAATGCAGTTAATATTAATCCACCAGGAGGGAAGCATTTTATTGACAATGAGAGAGAGCTATATAATCAGGTCTTAGGAAGGTGTTGTTAATAAATAATTGAAGGGGGTAATATGGTTGACATCTTCAAGTTGAGTTCATTCAGAATATTTCATGACAGCAAAAAACAAACAAAAAGTAAAGAAGATACATGACTGTTTATGAAGGCTTAAAGAACATGAGCATCATTTGAAAGATGATGGTGATAATTATGGCTTCTCACGTAGCGCCAGTATCTACGTTGCTAGGTGTTTAGGGCACTTGCTCTAGAAACTTGTCTCACAAAATTCAGTGTTCATGGTTAATGCTGCCATCAAGAATGCTTCATGTATCTACTTTGTTTCTAAAACATAGAACTCTACAAGGTCGACCTGTTGATGGTATCGGAATATAAAAGCTATCTGGAGACTTCTTAAATATTTTAGATTTGACTGGGATGTATCTGTCAATACCTCAATAGTGAATTAAATTGGGAATGGATTTACAGAGTATATTGAATTATGAAAACAAAAGAGAAATGGTAAATACATAAAATGGTATGATAGCATGGATATTCATTTAATAATAGCCTTCAAATAACTTATAAATCTATATATTCTCCACGATTAAATCCATGGATGCAATGAATAGAATTGCCCAATGTACATGTTAATGGTGAGTGTGATTACAGAGATTCATTGTGTGTTTGATGTTGTTCTTCTGACTTATCTGTAGAGAGTAAATTCAGGTTATCACAATATATATCACTTAATTTATCTCTTTGGTAATGATAAACAAAGTAAACTTCCCTTTTGATACACCATTTCCAGTGTGGATATAATCCAAATAGTTTTCTGTCTGGTTTCTGTAAATTAATATTTAATGATATCAATTTCAGTTGAGTTTTCAAAATGGAGAAATAATTATGTATCATTACATTGAAGGTGTCTGACAATCAGATCAGAATTCTTTACTGTAAGACTGATATGATGAGGAAGAAGCACACCATTAAATCTCAATTTTCCTTGTCTCATATTCTGATGTATATTTGAAAAAGTATGCCTTTTACAAGAGACCAGAGCTCTCTACATAGGAATTTTTTCTTAAAATTTACTGATACTTTACAGACTGGACAACCTCAATTTAAACCTAACCTAAAATAATAATTACCACTAGGTATTGAACACTTTTTGAATAGTTTTTAATGAATATGTGGTGACTTGAATTTTCTCTTTCAATAGAGTATGTGATCGAGAATGCCTGCCAAGTTGCCCATTTTGACATGATATCTTTGGATGCCTTCCTGAATATTTTGCCACAACACTTTTTAGAATTTTTTTTCTTTCAATTATGATTTTTTCAACCATTTTACCCTTAAGCTTTGCAAATCTGTGCAACACTCTTTAAAAGCATCAAAATAAGATGTGCTTGCAACTAGGTAGGCAAAATGGCCGGCAAAATGGCAGGCATGATATTGTAGTCACATCATTTCGTCGCTGTTTTCACGAAGTGACGGTAGTGAAAAAAAATTGCATTCACTTTGCGTTACAATTTTCCTCACTACCGTCACTTCGTGAAAACAAGGACGATTTGTGCCACTGTAGATAGTATACTGTGATAGTCACACACATTCATCATTAGATCATTAAAACCCTTTGTTTTCATTATTGTACTAACATTGGAATGTCAGATTAGAGTTCTTTATACTAACATTCACCCTTCCCTATCATTTTGAGATTCACTTGTTACATGTACATTATGTTGTAGTTTTCATATCAAATCGTCTTTCATACTACGAGATTTACAAGAATGTAGTTATTTGGATGCTTATTGTATGTTATGTATTCTGAGACCCAACTTTGTTGTTGTTAAGTTTAATTGTTGACTGTATATGTATATGTTTATGTTTTTTATTTTTAGATTAGAAAAAAACATAGGAATATTTTACTCTAATCATAATGTTAAGAGCTATTGGGTATCTCTAGATTATGACGATGTTTTAAAGGAAGAGTATTATGTGTTTCAAATTTTTTTTTTATACAAATTGATGAAAGTGTTTTAAGTATAAGCAATTGTGTTTACTTGTCCTAAAGATGCATTTTTGTGCTCATCATGGATTTTTATGCTACATGTAACATGTATATATATGTTGTACAATGTACATTGTTTCATCATCTTTATGTATAAGTAATGTATTCTCTACTTCAGCTGTGTTCTTAAAGTCTATTAATGCCATTTACTTTCTAACTCTATATACCGGTATGTGAATACTCAAGCATTTTCATTTAAGTCTCATTGTATCATACTGTATCTCTTTAACTCATTCCTGTAGTAAGGGGAACAAACTTGTTCATGATCATTTTATGTCCTTTCCATTCAACTTTCTATCATTCCAACCATCTTTCTTTATATGTGCTAACTGATTTCAATCTACCTACATGTACCTGTCCTGTTGTTGCATCAATGCCTTCTCTAATCTTCAAACACGCTCAGACTTACAAGTCGAAGGTGAGTTCTGCTTATTTCTACCATTTTTGTCTCCATTAGAATATATAGTCCCACTCCTGCCTTTACTTGTTGTTATGGACAGAGAGAACGTGTAGATTTATTCATCCCTGTACCTAAGAGACATTGGACTGTATTGGTAACTCCACATCTTATGTAGATTTCATGTAGACTCCGCTCCAGTCTCACAGTCTGAAGACTAAATTAGATTGTTGACAATGTTATGTACAGTTAACAACTGAACTATTCATAAGGCCTAAAAAAAAGATGTTGTATTGCCCTTTGCGACCGACCCAAAAATTCTGAAATCTACGGTCAGCATTTTTTTTTTTTTTTAAACGTTAAAAATAAAAAGTTTAAAGAATAAAAAAATGTATTAAAAGCATTCAAAACTGAGAAATATCAGCCCAAAGAGGGAGATAAAAAAAAGATTTTAGACTGACCGACCCATGTTTCGGCACCTAAAGGGCAATACTACATCTTTTTTTTTAGGCTTAGTGTCTTTCCAGCTTGTGGTCCTGAATAGCTAAAAAATCGTTTGTCCCAATTTATGTTACTTGAGAATGTGACATATTAACGCTTACATCTAAAAGTATTCAACAAAGGCCTTGATTCAATCAGTCCACCTTTCATTCTTGAGTTATGAAAAACACAAAAACAACAAATTTACAAGGTGCATGAATGAGTTAATCATTAACTGTACATAAATGTACTGTAGTAAATTAAAATAAAACAAGCACATAATTCAAATAAATTCAATCAATGATAAATTTTTAAAAAGTTATAAAAATAAAAAAAAAGACAAGCATGTTGCTTCCGTTCACACAATATCAGATTGTTAAAGAAGAGATAGCATTCAAAATCACCTTCATACAAATGATAAAGTATAGATCAAAGTATTTAATATCTCTTGCTATTATTTTGAAAATACAAGCTCAAAATGTTTATAATTAATTTCTATTATTTTGATTTTTCTGCTGTATCAGAATGTGTAGGTGAGTAAGTGAATAAAATGCTTCTCTGGCAAAGTTAGGACTAATCACATAGATCAGATCACTATTGTATATTATAAGGATATCCATTAGTTACAGCACTCATTAAATCATCACATCATCATGTTTTATGTACATGATGACATGCTTGCACGATGTATTTTTGTATATTAGTTCTTAAAGCTCTTATTGGAATTTTTTACAGTTATTGTATTTGTAAAGATTCCTATATCATAATCTTTATCCAAGTATTTATCCTGCATATAGACTTGTTGAACAACATTAGTTTTAAGCCAAACATCAGCTACATGAAGCTTATTTAACAGCCCAAACATAGAATACTTACCCACTTTTACAATAAGTGAAAATAGTGTTGATTTGGTTACAAAAGTTTTAAGTACCGGTACAAAGATTGTCAGCTATAGTAATAGAAATACATGTAGGTACAAATATACATGTAGAATTTTCAAAATTTTATGCAACACAATATGTGTACATTTGTAGGTAAAGAAAAGTATGTCAGAAGAAATTGTGTATATTGATATCACAGCATGGAATGGAACTTTCATTTGAATTGGCATGAATATATTCCAGGTCACATTTCATTTTATTCACTTTACTCAATGACTATAATGTAGTTACCCATCAGAATTGTAAAAATGTGTTTATCTGTGGTTGTATGCCTGGTGCCCCAATTTTTTCCCTGTCACATGTTTTATTATCATAAATTTTATCAAAATGTATTCATCTTTTAAATCTTAAAAACCTGTAGTATTATGTTCATTTCAATTATATTCACGTTAAAATAGTTTGTATGCCACCTAATTTTATATAACTATCCTTACTTAATGTAGACTTATATTTATGAACATTTATCATCATTTCAGTTGGGAAAATAAGCTTTATCATATTTTACTAGCCTTGGCAAGTTGGCATGTTTTACATATGCCATGGGCACCCTTTTTGGCACTTTCATTGCATGATGGGTAACTGTCATAATCATTAAAGGATTGTACTGCTGCTCTAAAAAATGTGTAAATGAATTGCAATATAGATACTTTTGTACTGTTATATTGCATGATTCCAGCCACTATTAAAGAGGGCACGGGCACCTAAGAAGGAATGGATTTTTTTAATTTTTTTTTTTGGGGGGGGGGCTGGTCTTTCTAAGAAAATGAAATGAGAAATGTTATTAGGCTTCTAACCAGGAGGAGTAAGATGAGAGAGAGGATTCTACTATCTTCCTTTCATGTTTTGTCCTCCTTGCCCCCTTTCCCCTTTTTTCATAATTTGGTTTGAGGAGGGGGGGGGGGGGGCACGTGTCCACCTGTAGCTACACCATTGCTATACTTGTTGTCATGCAATCCTTTGTTGTGAATGTAAACACGCTACCATCCACCTTTGTGGCATTCAAACAAGGTCATGTGACTATGGTAGCTAGAAGCCAAGGACAAACATTAATTAGTATCTCATCCAATTGTTCTAGTCGTTTGTGGCTTACATGCAAGTAGCTGAAATCAAAACAAAAGAATATTGATGAAAGAATACAAAATTGAGGTTTTCTGCATACAACAGAAAACCCAAATTATGTATTCTTTTATTAATATTTGTCTTCAAACACATTTTTTTTTTTTGGGGGGGGGGGGAATCTTTGCAGAGTGTCTCAAATGAAATCCTCTTTCACATTATGATACAATTTAAGTAAAATTTTGCCATTTTTTTTTGGCGAATTTGGGGTTCCCAACACTTTAGAGGAGATTTAATATAGACTGGTACATACACCCAGGTGGTTCTTCTCATGGCAAGAGTAGACTTCCATGAGATAGTTTAGTGTCTTTCCAGCTTGTGCTCCTGAATAGCTAATTGTTCAGTTAAAAACTAAATCTAAATATCTGAAAACAAATACAGCTCCATTAAGCCACTATTTTCACCATTCTTAGTTCACGTTTACATTAAACCAAGCTATAATTGAGAATATAAAACAGAAATTGTTGCACAAGTGGGAGAATTATTTTATTTTAAATACACTTCTGATGCTGGCCAATGGATATAAGAAAATAATATGATGAAGATCATTTCACAAGAAATATATAAAATCCTTTACATTAAAAAAAATGTTGTGATTGATTGACTGATTGAATTAGCAGATGAAAGAAAATTAGACAAAACTTGAATATTTTACTAAACTTCATTAAGATTACCAAATCTATAGCACATACATGCAAATTTGTTTGCAACTATTTTGATAGCATTATCATATGTATACTTGTGCATTTTAATTTTTGTATTCACTTACCATTACACTTTGATGAGATAATTTTTTGTTTCTAAGTGTTCAAAATTGATGCAAATATGGATTGAGTATTCTTTTGGTAACCCTTTTCATGTCAGCACTGTAAGTCTGAGTGAGATTTATAACCAACATTTAAAACATACATGTAGTACCTCTTTGTTAAGAAGTATGAACAATATTGAAGTGAAATATTAAATTCTTCTATTTACTTATTGATACGATTCCTCTTTAGTTATTTTTCTATATGCAAATGCGCTACACATTATTCATTTAATTGAAATTCTTCATTAATTTTGGCTTTATACATTTTTCTGATATTAATTACTCATTAATATTTTTTGTACAGTGTATTCTTTCATGTATGTCTGTATTGTTGATGTTTTGATGAGTAATATTGTTTGAATGCCTGTGGAACACAGCTCACATCATGTATGATCTGGGCCCCATTTCACAAAACTTGTTATCAGTGACAAATGAATTTTTTTGCTATAAGCTATTGAAATCCCTGTTTCTGATTGGTTATCAGCAGATTTGTCATTGATTTTTGTCATTTGTCATTGAAAAAAGGCTTTGTGAAACAGGTCCCAGTTCATATCCACTCAAAATCATCCTTTGAAGAAAAACACAGCTTTACTCTTGATTGTGATTGGTTGATGATGGATTAATCTTGGAGAGATTATGTCCAATCAGGATGATTGATTGATTGATTGATTGATTCTTAATAACTCACCTCACAGTCTTTTCTAATTTGTTTTAAGTATATTTGTTTGTTTGTTTGTTTGTTATGTATTGTTTGTTTATTATGTAAGAACTTATTCTTCTTGACTAGACATGTCCATCTTGTTGTTATTACATGTATATACATGTATATTGCATGTTACCCTTCCGTGACTGTAAAAATGTAAGGTTTGGTGACGATGGCTCGTATTCTACTCAAATTTAAACCTAGCGGTAAGCTTAAATTTTGTTCAAAATCGCTTTAAAAAAAAGGGAAGTTAGTCTGAGGTCTAATAAAGTTTGCCTTTGTTGAACAAGATCTCTGACCCCGATTTGGGTTTAACTGAATTAGTAGAATACGGGCCAAAGAGTTTAAATCACATGCTTCATACCGTCTGTTTAGATTCAAGAGGGTGTCCATGCACTCTATGATAATGCCAACAACTGAATTTCCAAATGGACCAATAAAATTAATCTGAATCTGAATCTGAATCAGTTAATGTCTTTCTATACGTGAGCAGACGGTACAATGAATCAACAACCCACTTTTGTAAAAATAAGAAACCCAAACTACTTCTTCATCTCCTCACCAAATATGAGCAGGTAAAACACGAGACAGTGATGAAGATATATACAGTGACATGGAGGTGGAAGAAGATTACGACGGACCGCATCTCACGTTCCCTCTCTCCTTGGACCAGGTGGAGAAGATGATGGAGGATTTCAAGGAGCAGAAGCTCCTCCATTCTAAGTATGTTCTCATGGTACTCAGGGAGACAGAGAAGGTGATGAAGACTAAGAAGAATATCAACAGAGCTACTACAGCCATCGCCAAACAGATCACAGTTTGTGGTGAGTATTCACAGATAATTAGATTGAATTGGAATTTATTCACCACTTTCATGGAGAAAAAAAAGTTAGTGTAAAGTAAAAGAAATAGAATAAAACCTTTCTTACAAAAATACATATCAAATGAAAAGTTGGGTCATTATTAATACCGGTATGTACTACCGAAAATAAAAAATAATGCTCACACTAAACCTAACACTAAACGCTAACACTAAACCTAACACTAAACCACCAAACAGATAACAGTTTGTGGTGAGTGTTCAAAGACGATTAAATTGAATTGGAATTTATTCACCACTTTCATGACGAAAAAAAAGTAAGGCAAAAGAAATAGAAGAAAAAATTCTTATAAAAATACATATCAAATGAAAAATATATGATGTACAACCAAAAATAGAAGATTGATAGATGATACTATAAAAATGCTTACACTAACCCCAACACTGACCCTAACCTAAAACCCCATCACAACCCAAGCCCTTCCCATAACCATGCATGGTGGATATGTGCGCTATATAAATAGTCAATATTATTATTATTATTATTATTATTATTATTATTATTATTTGATGATATAAACCAAGAGCAGATGTGGCCTCACAGCAAACTCAGATGAAATGAATCTATTAGTTCTGGAAAGCTGAACAATATTTAACAACATTTTAATATATTTATACCTTGCAGATTAAATTAATACAACCAGTGTATTGTATTACAAAAAAAGGTAGGAAAGAGAGAGAGAGAGAGAGAGAGAGAGAGAGATAAATTGCTGAGCAATTCAATTGAAGTCACATCTATCTATCAATAGCATTTCATTTCAGACAAATTAGAATCCAGATAACAGGAGGTGTTCAATCAATTATTAATTTGTTTGCGCTTTTGCCATTAATATTTTATTAAGTAGACATCAGATCTAAAGTGATAGCTGGAATAGCAGGCTGTTCTTTCCCATTTGATTTAATTACATGCATTCTGAAATGTGGGGATACCGGGGTACAGCTTTTTTTCACTATTTCTTTTAGTTATTTGAATCAGATATTTTCAGTTATTCATTGATTTGTTGAGAGCCAGAAGCCTAGGGCATTATTATGCATTTATACAGAGTAATAATGCCTTCTAGCACTCACCAGATATGTCTAATGGAAAAGAATATATTAAGCCAAGAAGTGATCATCTTTATTTCTAAAGAAGTACGATGTGCTGCCATTTTAATTCCTAAACCTCATGATATAGTCACTGAATGAGGTTAACAAAATTATTAATCTTTCTTTCTTTCGTCTTCTGTTATAATTGATTGGATTATGAGGTGAATCCCGTGAATATTCCAAACTAGATGTATATATCATGATTATAAATTTACTGGTCAAAATAAATGCTGCAACATGAAGATATTATTTATTTCATCTTCAGCTATAATTGATTGGATTATGAGGAGAATACCGGTACCCTGAATATTCCAAACTAGATGTATATATCATGATTATAAATTTACCAGTCAAAATGAATACTGCTTCATGTAGAAATTATCGACCTTTGAATTCACAGTGTGAGCAATGATCACTTTTAATTCCTTCATTTCATTCTTCTCAATCCAGGTGATTTACATGGGGCCATAGAGGATCTCTTCCTGGTATTTTACAAGGTGAGTACAATAGAGCTTTGTTAGCTGCTCAGGCAAGCCAATCACCATGATGGATCATACCCTAATCTGATAATATAGTGAGTGGAAGGATGAACAAAATAAGATGGATTGGTTGGTTGTCACTAGGAGATGGGCACAACATATATATATGCCTTTCAGGGAATTATACTCAGGTTAATTAGAACCATTTTGGTTAGAATTAAAGGGGAAATAAATAGAAAGAAAGGCAGCAAGAGATCGAGAAACAAATGCATCTACTGTTGGGCAGTATGCAGTCAGATTGAATAGGAACAAGTTAAAAGGAAAGACACTGGACAAAGCAGAGAGAGAGAAAGAAAGAGAGAAAGAGAAAAGGAGAGAGAGAAAGAAAGAGTGAGAATGAGAGAGATAGAGAGAATGAGAGAGAGAGAGATAGAGGGAGAGAGAGAAAGAGAGAGAGAGAGAGAGAGATACAAGGATAAAAAGTGAAAATTGAATTGTTACTGAGTTGTCATGGTAACGAATGAAAACAGGTTGATATGTTCGGGTAGGTTTTGATTGAGTATCCCTGCAGCATAGCATGATTTGATATCAACATCGGACAATGAATTGCTCACTTTAGAACTTCACTTCCAATACCTATTAAATGTCTATAATTACATGTTCGTAAGAGCTACCCGATATAATTGTAAGGTCGTCATCATACCAATATCTGAACAATATATAGGAAGCCATTTTTATGTTTGTTGATCACAAACAGATTTTATTTGCAAATGTACATTTCAACAAATTAGTTCTGATGTATGCTTGAAAAAATGTCCTTGACTTAAGAAACCTTTTTACTTTATAATAGGCCAGCGAGCATATCAAGTTAACAACTAAATTATTTATACCCTTACCAAGTTTTGGAATTCTATAAGTATGTGGAAATGTATTTGCCCTAATAAATGTGATTTGAGAATGTGACATATTCAAGCTTAAATCTTAAAAGTATTCAACAAAGGCCCTAATTCAACCAGTCCACCTTTCATTTTTGTGTTACAAAAAACACAAGACACAACAAATTTTAATACAAGCGGTATGAATAATTTACTTTTTAACTGTATTTATGGCCTTCTCATGTGTGAAATGAAAGTATCCTATCTACATTTCTTTATTTATATTTTTTGTTATATTTTTTTTATGTTTATGCCAATCTCCTGCAATCATTATGAGAACCAAAACATGTGGAAGATGTTTGCTATTTTATTATTGTATAATAGTGTTGAATTTACATTTTGTTTAGCATTTAAGTGTTCTTTATCTTCATCTTGGGTTTTAAATCATGTTGAAATTTAAGTGCTATGTGACCAAAAAAAGTGTGATTGCAAGAAAAGTAAAGTATTGTTTCATCATCTTTTGACAGAATGGTCTACCATCTGCAGAGAACCCATACATCTTCAATGGTGACTACGTGGATAGAGGGATGCATTCTGTAGAGATAGCAATCATCCTCTTCTGCTTCTTCCTCCTCTTTCCAAATGAGGTCTACCTTAATAGAGGCAACCATGAGGACTATATTCTCAATCTCAGGTAAATATTGCTTTCTTCCTCCTTTATCCAAATGAGGTCTACCTTAATAGAGGCAACCATGAGGACTATATTCTCAATCTCAGGTAAATATTGCTTTCTTCCTCCTTTATCCTAACGAGGTCTACCTTAATAGAGGCAACCATGAGGACTATATTCTCAATCTCAGGTAAATATTGCATTCTTCCTCCTTTATCCTAATGAGGTCTACCTTAATAGAGGCAACCATGAGGACTATATTCTCAATCTCAGGTAAATATTGCATTCTTCCTCCTTTATCCTAATGAGGTCTACCTTAATAGAGGCAACCATGAGGACTATATTCTCAATCTAAGGTAAATATTGCTTTCTTCCTCCTTTATCCAAATGAGGTCTACCTTAATAGAGGCAACCATGAGGACTATATTCTCAATCTCAGGTAAATATTGCTTTCTTCCTCCTTTATCCTAACGAGGTCTACCTTAATAGAGGCAACCATGAGGACTATATTCTCAATCTCAGGTAAATATTGCATTCTTCCTCCTTTATCCTAATGAGGTCTACCTTAATAGAGGCAACCATGAGGACTATATTCTCAATCTCAGGTAAATATTGCATTCTTCCTCCTTTATCCTAATGAGGTCTACCTTAATAGAGGCAACCATGAGGACTATATTCTCAATCTAAGGTAAATATTTCATTCTTCCTCCTTTATCCAAATGAGGTCTACCTTAATAGAGGCAACCATGAGGACTATATTCTCAATCTCAGGTAAATATTTCATTCTTCCTCCTTTATCCAAATGAGGTCTACCTTAATAGAGGCAACCATGAGGACTATATTCTCAATCTCAGGTAAATATTGAATTCTTTCTCCTTTATCCAAATGAGGTACTGTCATGGGTGTCAATCCTTACATAATTGTTCAGGGGGATGAATGAATAGATCATCCCCCCTGAACAATAGGTATCAATTACAGATCTACGCCCATGGGTACTGTATATCTTTAATAGCAGAGGCAACCATTGACCTTGTGTAACTTTTTGTGAAATTAATGAATTCAACAATTTTGACATAATGCAGAATACTTATACAAGGTCTGAACAGATGTGCTTGGTAATGGAAGATCATGAAATAGCTGAGAATTGCTCATGATGGTAAGGAACCCTTGTATATCTGAAGATAAACTGTCTATTTTGTGAACATAAACACCATGCCAGGAATGAAACTAAAAAGCGTTTAAAAAAAACTTCATGAGCAAATAGAATTTATTTCTTTCTTACAGCTTTACTAATCGACTTGTAACCCAAATTTTTCCCATTATGTATCCAGCTTTTACAATGTTTGTGTTGTGTTGTGTTGAATAAGATTTTTTTATCTTTTTTATTGCAGATATGGTTTCTTGAAGGAGGTGCAATCAAAATATGGTGCCCAGGTAAGGACCATTTTAAATTCATAGATATATGATACAGTAGCAACATTATAATGAAATGATTAAATAAATGTTGAGGCTTGAAATTTTTTTTCTTCAAAGATGTCAAATTGAAGAATATATTGGTATGCTGATATGAAGTTGCATCAAAGGGAAGTTATGGTTGAGCTCTGCTGAGGGAATGTTTCACGGATATCATGAAAATTTAGAATGCAAGAAGGGTTCAAAGAAGTGAGTGATGAATGCTATTCCTGCATATTGGCAAGAAAGGTAATCATTCTCATGAACTGCAGAATTTAATGTTTTTGAAGCCCTGGAGGGACCTTTTTGAAAGTTCTGTTTGTATTTTTTTCCATAGATTTTGTTTTTGAAATTATTATTGTGATGTCATCAATTTCAAATCTGACTCTTTCTCTACAGAGATCACATGCACAGAAGATAATTGGTCAGTTCCAGGATTTGTTTGCATGGTTACCATTAGCAACATTGATAGATAGCAAGATTCTGATATGTCATGGTGGGATCTCTGATAAGACTGATCTGACATTCCTGGATAATATTGCCAGACACAAGGTATGTCACAGTGAATTGCAAAGCTCACAATCAATGATAAGATTGTATCACCACCCAGGATTCAATTGCAGATACGTACCCCTGTGAATCCCCTCCACACATCCTATTGTAATTTGCCGAAAAAGAAACTATTGGCAAAAGTAAACAATTTTGTGTTAATGAATGGCAAGGGGAGGGGGGGGGGGTGGGGGGGTCACTTAAAAAGGATAATTTTATATGATAAAATAAAAAAATCAGAAGATGGCATTGATCTGTACGATGGTATCTTTACCATCTTATACCTCTCCAAAGACCTCATTGATGAGCTAACTGTTTCATTCCTAAACTTCTACCTTTAGGAAACACATTTTGATAGCCATATACTCATCAACCGCTGGAGTGCTGTAGTAGCAAAAACTTCCCCACAGTTTAGCGTGATCTCTAATATATCTGGACTTTATACTTAATGCAGTCTTCTGCTTTAAACCTTAAAAGCTAAAATACAATTTGATATGGAACTCTTGTACATTAGTGGCACATTGAATGTTACAATGCTTACCAATTGTAAGTATATTTATTCTGTGTTCTCAATCAAATGTAAGACTCATTTTTTAAAGTAAAACTTTTGATCTCAATACAAAATCTTTAACTTTAAAATGTTTAGTTGTTCAGCTTCAGCCTTTGTCAGCTATGTAGCCGGACTTCACATTTCTTAAATTATTGGCAATAATCCAGTCATAGACATTCAGAAGTTTGCAACACCCCCTATCTTTTTTGAGAGAAGGTTTGAGGGCCATGACATAGATAGCTTCATTGATTCCACTCACCTATTATATCAGATATGTGTTCTTCTTCTTCTTCCTTCAATTCTTAGAGTCTTTATATTTTTATTGATCTTCTTGTATTGTTTTAATTTTCTTGTCTGCAGTATCTGTCTGTACTGAAACCACCACTAAAAGAAGGAGCAGAGGAGTTAACTGGAGAGGAAGAGGATTTGAGTTTGAAGATTGATCTCTCTGAGTGGAGACAGGTCAGTTACTGAGTTTAACACCTTCCATGCCACAGTTGCTAAGTATCATACAACAGCTTAAAGGTTGCACTTTAAGTTGGAATCAATAATAATGATAGTGGGTTCTTGTATAGCGCTCATATGTGTCTTACGTGACACTCCTGGCGCTCCACAATTATTACCCCGACTTTAATATGGCTGCCATTATGAAGCTCTAGCATTTCAAGGAATTAAGTCCTGCCAGGTACCCATTTACCTCACCTGGGTCAAGTGTGGCAAATGTAGATCAATGTCTTGCAAAAGGACATTAGTGCTGCAACTGGACTTGAACTTGAATAGTCAGGTTAAATTACAATGTAGCATTGCATAAAATATGATGCAAATATGGTACAACTATAAACTTCCAAAATATCAAGTATCTGTTATTGATTAGCTTCTGTACTGTTACAGTCTTTTCAAAGATGAAACTGAACCAATGCATCGATTTCTACATGCTATCATACATTTTACTTCTTCCATCACATTTCTTTATTCCACGATATAGATATTCTTTATAGGACAGTTGTGCAGTGCTCATTATCGTTAAGTCAATACATTTTCCATTTGCATAGGACTTACAATTGAATTTCATTTTTTGTCCAGATTTTAGACATCTTATGGAGTGATCCTCGGAGTCAAGATGGCTGCCAGCCAAACACATTCCGAGGAGGAGGGAGCTACTTTGGGCCTGATGTAACCAAGAAGGTGTTAGCTAAACATGGAATAGATCTTCTCATCAGGTCACATGAATGTAAACCAGATGGATATGAATTCACACATGGAGATAAGGTAGGATGTGCGATGATGATGATTATGGTGGTGATAGCAGTGAAGATGGTGATGACTATGATGATGATGATGATGATGATGATGAGTATGGTGGTGGTGATGAAGATGATGGCGACGATGATGATGATGATGAATATGGTGGTGGTGATGACGATGATGACGATGATGACGATGACGACGATGATGATGATGATGATGATGATGATGATGATGATGATGATGATGATGATGATGATGATGATGATGATGATGATGATTATTGTAATATTGAAGATGTTGGCAATATTGTTGTTTACGGTGATGGCAATTATGATGATTTATAATTTATATTTTCCTTGTCTGTTTTAAATTATTTGCAGGTCTTGACGGTATTTTCAGCCTCCAATTACTATGAAGAAGGGAGTAATAGGGGAGCTTACATCAAGTTTGGTACCGACCTCAAACCTCGCTGTTTTCAGTATCAGACTTCCGCCAAAAACACCAAGAAAATGACGATGAGGCAAAAGTAGGATATATACATTTCTCCAAACCTGCCGACGTATCATATCTATGTGTAGTATTGTCTTCATGGAAGGTTCCTCCTGTACTGTATAAATGTAGAACATGACTATGTTTATGATGGGGCTTGAGCCAACTATAAAAGTAGGGAATGTGCACAATTTCTCTTTAGTCTTCTCAGCAATTTCTCTTGTTTTTGATGTGCATACATGTATGCATATATTCAGATCATACTCATGTAATCCAATTTAATTCAATTTTGTTCTTTCCACAATTTGATAAAAATTACATTAAAAAATTTACAAACCAACCTATAATCATGACAATGCAGAAAAGCCCATACAGAAATTCAACAATAAAAGTTACGGTACAAAATTGCAATCTAGATAATAAAATAAACAAAAACTATATCAAAATGTGGAGGGTCAAACAAAGGCCAAAGGCTTTCACAGGCATTTTCCTAGAATATTTATTACAATATCTCAGATTTACATGTCGAGTATACAATTTTATGTGCATTGTGAAATGCATTTCCACCTGTGCCTTTCCATCGTGAATTTACAGATGATGACATATTTCCATGGTTACTGATTTTATTTCCTTGTTCATAATTTCAGGGTGAGCATTGTGGAGGAGTCGGCATTGAGAGACTTAAGAGAGAAGATAGGAGCAAATACCACATACCTGAGACAAGCCTTCCAGAAATATGATCCTGGCAACACAGGTAAAACTTAATGGAGTGTTTAACAAGTTATGTTAGTATGATACCGGTACTGCTTTCTTTCTTCTGCTATCAAACACCTGTCTCATGTTGCAAACAATCTCTTAGTATTACACCCCCCCTTTCCCCTCTCCTCTCTCTCTCTCTCTCTCTCTTTCTCTCTCTCTCTCTTTCTCTCTCTTTCTTTCCCCGTCCTTCTCTCCTAGTGGACCTATCTTTCTTGACTTAGCTTAGCTTAGCTTTTTCACACAGGGGTAACATTCATTGTATCTATATAGAGCTGTCTAGTTTAAAGCTCTTTAACTAAACAGCTTTAAAGTAAATTTTCCTTGTGAACGTCGTTTATACGATGTTCGGGCAGTTACAAGTTGTGATCTATATGCCGGTCAGAGCAGGCTGCAGATACGAAGTCCGTATCTAGAGAGCAAAACATTTTGTTTGTGAACGGATATACACGTCCTTAACTGGGTGGAGTTAAGACCGGCATTGCACTTTAAACGCTGGGGAGGGCCATTGCGCATTTACGGCAAGTGCACAATGGCCCTACTGAGCTTTTAAAAAGCAGTGAATCTTGAACGACTGCACCAAATTTTCTGGGTGTGAATGATGTTGTATCTAAAGCTGATCAGTTTAAAGCTCTTTTAAACTGATCAGCTTTAAAGAATTTTCCCACCGTGTGAAAGCGATGTATGTCATCCTGTTTTCCTGCTTCTTACCGTGTGCATGAAAGAAGACTGAACCATATCTCTCACATTCCCTCAGGTTTCATCACATCAACCCAGTGGGCCAGGACTATGGAAGAGATCCTAGACCTGTCTATCCCATGGAGGACCTTGAAGACTAAACCATATCTTTCACTTTCCCTCAGGTTTCATCACATCAACCCAGTGGGCCAGGACTATGGAGGAGATCCTAGACCTGTCTATCCCCCGGAGAACCTTGAAGACTAAACCATATCTTTCACATTCCCCCAGGTTTCATCACATCAACCCAGTGGGCCAGGACTATGGAGGAGATCCTAGACCTGTCTATCCCCTGGAGGACCTTGAAGACTAAACCATATCTTTCACATTCCCCCAGGTTTCATCACATCAACCCAGTGGGCCAGGACTATGGAAGAGATCCTAGACCTGTCTATCCCCTGGAGAACCTTGAAGACTAAGATGTGCAGGATGAATGAGAATGGGTTGATTGAATACGATTCTTGCCTTGAGATGGAGCTGCAATACAGTGGTGAGAAAGGAGGTCCTAGTGTTACAGAGACTCTGTACAGGAACAAGAATGCCTTGGAGACTATCTTCAGGGTCATGGATAAAGACCATTCAGGTTGGTTTAGTTTTGTGACCCTCATCGCAAAGAACTCCATTGCCTATTTCAATAGGTATAAACTAATTTTGTAGGGCCATCTTATAAGACTGATATCTAGGCATATAGAAGCTATAGTCGTTTTGTGTTGGTCAACACATTTACATGTACAATATTACTATACAGACTATACAATACAGATTCTTGCTTCTACTTCTACTTCTACGACGATACTCAGCAGGATCCATAAGTCAGGATGTATAGTGCTGAGGAATAAACTATCTAGTTCTTGGTCTAGATGCTGGGTGGAAGCGCTCCCTTGAAGCCCTCCAGTGAAGTAGCGTCAAGCCTTCAGACTTTGGGGGTTAGAAACTCAGTTTTAAAATTAGTCACTGGTTGTTGGAAACCTAGTACCCAAAGACTACATCTAATAAGAAATAAAGAATCAGTTTAATTTTTTGGCCTCTTATTCTAGACATTTTGAAAATAATACATCTCATTTACAACAAATAACCTTGCATGGAGTGAAATGTAATCTTTGTAAAAGTTTCAAGTTTTGAGGAAATTTCTAATGATTTGACCTTTGACATTTCAGGTTGTATCAGCATGGAAGAGTTCCAGGATGCCTGTCAGCTTCTGAGTAAACACATCGGTAGCAACATCCCTCCAGAGACTGTCAAGGACATGGCTCAATCTATAGATATCAACAAGGATGGTAACATTGATTTCAATGAGTTCCTTGAGGCATTCCGTCTTGTTGATACCCAGGACATCAAGCTGGATGGACAGACCTCCATGCAGAACTCACCAGCTCATGTAGCGAATGGAGAGAACAATAAAGTTTAGACCTTGGGTTGACTTAGAACTTCAGGAACACCTTAACGCAGAACTCACCAAGTTCCTGTAACTATTGGGAAGGGTGTAATCTTTAGACCTTAAGTTGACACAGAATCGCAGGAACTGCTCGATGTATAATTCACAGGATCCTGGAGAGAACTATTATCAGCTGTAGGCCTTTTGTCTGCATGGTGGACACTGAATTGGAGAACCATTTCAATGCCAAAGACAAAGACTTATGTGAAGCCATTGGAGACTGATCAACTTAAGGCATTTAGTAACATCAATGGAAGCACCAGCAACTTGTTCAACGCAGAATCTACTGGTTAATGCAGTTAAAAGAGAGGGTGATGAAGTTTAATCCTACAGACTCCCTGTCTACCGGTAGTCAACAGCCATGGTTATAGAGCAACAGGGCACTTGCATGACAGTTCCTTTAATACACCAGATAACAGACCATATCTTTTTTGTCTAGTTGTTACTGCTGTCTTTTTATCACCTATAATGTATATAGACAAAGAAATAAACATGTAGAGTTTTACTTTATATAGATATTAATAATACAGTTTCGTATGTTTTGGCATAGCCTTTCTGCTTGAAATCTCAGTATTCAGTCGAAAATAATGCACCGCTCTTGACCATTATCTGTTGAAGGTTAAAGGTCATAGGTCATCTTAGACAACTCTGAAGTTCCTTCAAGTTACTGCAGTAATTTCTTTCTTCTTCTTTAGTGCAGCTGTGTGCTATTTGTATTTATGGGGATTTTTGTATTATTATTTTTTTAATTAATTTTAATAAATCTTATTCAGATACCAAATTTATGGGAATAGATGTGTGGATACTTATTATTGAAAAAACTACAAGAAAAAAAAAAAAACAAGGAACGCTTGTTAACTTGTTGGAAATGTTTTTTTATTTCAAATGGGTATGATGTTGAGTTGATTTGGTTTTCTATTCAATCCGATGATAGGTACGGCATTGTGTATTGATTGACTAAATTTTAAACACAATGCTAGTAGGTCGTTTTCAAGGAAATAATAGCAGATCAATAATGAGGACTGAAAGAAAATGATTTAGTTGACTTTTGTAAGAGTATTTATTGCTTTCTGGGTTACAAATGATGCTGGTCATGAATAAAATAGGGCTAGTCATGGTAAAATAAACAAAAAAACAGGAGAAGTTGTACAGCATTGACCAGTATTGAAACCTATGGGTGCCTCTAAACATGTTTTAAAATTTCCGTCCTAAATTCTTGTTCGCCATCATTTGTTTGCTGTTGTTATGAAGGGATTATCTGCATCTGGTTGGTTTCAGAAAACTTACTTTAATACATTTTGTGTTTTAATAGCACAATTACTCGTACTAAAATTAATGCAGCTTAAACTGTTTAGGATCAACTTGAACACAATGTCTTGCATAAGCTTTTTGCCTTCATTTCGCTACAACCATCATTTTATTTCTAGAAGACCAAGAGTTTGAATAAATAATGTATTATTTGAGATTTTGTTCTAATCAATAGTTTAGGCAGATAGATTGCAAATAAAGTGCAAATAGATGTTTCTACCTCCATACACATGTGGTTTTAATTGGGAAATGTCATCTAAAGAATATTTCATAGCTGCATGTTGGAATACCTCTAAATTCCTGTAACTGTCATGGATTATGCCTTTAAAACTCATCATGACATCCCTTTAAATCATGTATGCATGTTGTAAATTGTATATTCACAGGTTTTTGGTATCTTTGATCGTAAATGTCATTTCTAACTTGTAAATAATGACATATGATCTATCAAAGAAAGTCTTGTGTTTTGTACATAAAATGCTTTTTATTTTTGCTATTTGCGCATGAAAAGCTGTGGTTTGATGAATTGTAAGATTCACAAACTTTGCCAAATTGTGGTTTAGAACTACAAATGCAGGGAAGATTTTGTATGAATCATGGTTGAAATTATTTTGGCAAAGAGTAAAGGTACTATTATTTTTCTTTGACAAATAAATAATTTGCAGAGAGGAAGATAATCATCGGAAATGTAACTTTAACTAGTTGTGATTGTTGCACAAAAGTTGTAATTTTCCTGCAGGGGTAGAAAGTTTAACTGAATATTTTGTTGCATTGATATAGTAAATACATTATTTTGATTTTATATATAAATAGCTATATGTATATGTACATGCAATATAATAGTAGTGTAGAAATTTGATTGGGGTATGGCTTCGAATCACTCTACATAATAGTTTCCAAATATTTTTCCTGAATTAATTTTCTTATTTTACACAATGCCAAAAACCTTTGCTCGATGTTCTGCTTTTACTGACCTTTTTTCCTCTTGTTGTTGATTGTGTTTATTGCAATGTGGATCTGATCTTCTGCTGACTTTTAAAGAAAGAATTTCAAGTGTTGAAAATTCAAAATTCAGCATTAAAATATTCTTAAAAGTGGTTGGCAAACAAAACGAGAAGCTAGGATAATAATTTCCAAACATTACATCTTTATGTGATATACAAAAATAGAATTTCAAGTGCTGTATCATTAAAATGTTTTGCTAGGAATGTATTCATCATTTATGGTTGAAATGATAGCAGACTGGTATTTATGGAAAAAATGACAAGTTGAATTATACAGAGATTCATTAAGAATACTCGTATTCAGAAAGATTGATATATTGTGTTCTTTTCTTTAATGATGACCAGTTACAATATTTTTTAAACAGTACACTCTGTTTTAATTCAAAAGCTACTATTTTGCATTGAATTTCTTTTTTATGTTATGGTATTTTTAGTGGAATTTATCAAACAGTGTGCTTTATTTGTCCTTGCCCGATTGTGCTTGCTCATAAAATTGACAGAAATAGTATTCATTATGATAGACTGATGCTATCATGAACTTTTTGAATTTTTAAAATAAGAAAATTAATTGTGATATATTTGATTGATTGATATTTGAATATGGAAATGATTTTCATTTCAAGATTGTGTCCAGTTCCTGATGAAATTACATTAAAAAAACCAGTATGGTTTCTAATCTATGTATTTCATACATGAATAACTAATAATAATAATAATATTCACACTTGTATTGCGCCATCTACATACACACTGTAGTGTTTCTAGTCCGAGGCACGTTCAGTAGTTAGAAAGTACATGTACATATATAATAGCTTTGCAAACTGAAAAGGCATTTCAAGGATGCCAGTTTTTCAGGCCCTGGCAAATTATTTTCAGACCATTGTTGAGGCTTTTTTGTGTATAATATAGCTCATTCTAGGTGATTTTCAGGTCCTCTGATCAATTTTAACTGGCATCCCTGGCACTTAAAACCTTGCCACTTAATAGATGACAGTCAATTAGTGATATTGATGCTTCTTATTTTGTAGCTACTAACATACACATATCTAACCATTTTTTGTATTATTAAACCTAACGAGGGATCTAGACAAGGTAGATCCTGATGCTTTGAAGTTTGAACATACACTCTCCCAATAAAATGATAATTCTTAAACAGTCAAAACCTCAACTGTTCCAGATGCATACATGTATGTGCCAAGCATATTGACAAGCTACTTAACTTTAATTCTCAACACCTTAATGTCCCGCCGAAAAGAGTGAAAAATTCAGAATAATATTCCAACTTTGGGCAGGTACATTGACAATTTGGCATGATTTTGTAATTGTACAGGGTATTTCAGACATCTATGTAAATTTAATGAGCAAAACTAGTTAATGCAAATGAAATGTACATAATATACATATGCCTTATTGCCTTTAAATGTGTTTGTGATAAAATGACATTATTTTGATCAGATATACGTGCATGTAATAGAGAACATGTTTTTGATTGGTGTATATATGCCAATCATGAGCATGCTTTTGTTTCTTCTGTAGTTCTGTTTAAAATTCATCCTTGTATTCATGCATGCATGTGTACGATATGTGAACTAGTCGTCCATCTTGACTGAGTACCGGTACACTCCATTTTTTTTTTAAGTGTCTCAATATAAAACAATGCATTTTAGAGAGCACGTATGATACTTTGTAACCCCACTGGAAATTCTTCTATGATTCGCATATCAGTTTAGAAATTACCCTTATTTTGTACATTGTTTATGTGAAGAAAACGGCAACAGATGCCTTGAGTTACACTTTATTATCTCTCTGAAATAGTATGCTGTAAATGTTGTATCTACAGATTAGTTACATCTGTTTACCTCTTTATGATTATGAATGAATGTAAAGATGAAGAAATTTAGCAGATGACATGGGGAGGGGCAAAACACTGGGTAGAATTTGATTGAATGCAACATACCATTCTATGTGCTTTGTAAATCTGAATCTATAACATTCTTTCTATGGTATACTATAAATAAAGCTTTAAAAGAAAAAAGAACAATTTGGCTGATTTTGTCCAATTACTCGTTGTTGCTGTCAATAATTGTGCAATATTCAGACCATTCCAAATCCATGGGGTTGTTCCATGAAGATGTTCAAAGAGACTTGTAATTTAATCAACACAGTTCACACACTTGAAATACAGTGTACAATATGTAGCATATAATAAACATTTATTTGGTGAAAACGTGTTTCCATAATATTACTACAATAGTGTACATTATTCAAAGAAAATGCATTACGGACAGAAGGTTTTTAAAAAAACATACAGATGTTGATTCTCTAAATGAGTTTATTCTGTAGCCGATCTTGATACACTTTTCTTCCTTCATCAGAAGCAGTTTAAATGTGCTATTACAATTATTATTCAGTTTGGAATATATTCAAAATCACATGTTAAAGTTAAACAACATTATTAGAAAAAGAAGTTGCAATAAACTGTGGCAGTACAGCGAAACATTGTTCAAACAAACTAATTAAAACAAGAAACCTATACAGTCCTGCTTCTTTGTATTCCACTGTTTTACTGCCATGGAGTTTTAAGGATCTGCTGTGTCAACAGTCTCTATGAATCTATACCATATCCCATTTATAGCACCTCCTTTACTTAAAATTGGAGACAAAAATTAAGACTGAAGAGAATTATATCAGAATCCTGAATTGGAGAAAGGAGCATATACTTTAGGCACACATAAAGACCCCAAAACCGGGCCTTTAATACCATCCCCTCCCCCCTCCAGTCCCTTACTTCTCAGACTTTTTCATCAAGTGTAGGTCAGTCAAGGGTGTATAGAGATATTAAATAATGCAGCAACAAGGTACTTCCCAGTTCATATTACAAGACATTTATAAAATGGGCTATGAAAAAGATTCATATGTGCATTTATATCAAAACTCTACAAAAAAGGTAGTTTTCCCCTTTGGATAGCTGCCTATAATGCATTAGATTTACAGTATATTGTTCTTGAATATGGAATTCAAATGTTTATGATTTTTCTAAGAAAAAACAATAGTGAAATCGTGGGTATGGTGACTATGGTCAAATCAATGGGCAGAATATAGATCAGAACAGAACAGATCCTAGACACCATCTAGGCATCTAGAAATGGAAATATTCAAATAATGTTTCAATATTTCAATTTTCATATATCAAAAATGTGCACATATTATTTTATCATTCAATAAGGTGGATGCTTTCAAGACATTCCTTGCATGGCTCATGGTGCCATAGCAATATATAGCATTATAAACATCTACAATATATCTGTATATCAACACAAGTCCAATCAAGTTCACAAGATCATCATGTCTCGTCAGCCTCAACTGATGTTACATCAGGGTTCATCATCGTTGCACTGTTCTGGTTCACATCACCATCCAAAGCAGTGGGGGTAATATGGGCAGCCTCACTGCTCTCTGCTACCGACTCAGTCTCGCTGGGTAATGTTATAATGGCATCCTTCCCGATCACCTTTTCTACTTCCAGGGCGAGGTCAGGGGTCTCGGGCTGGAGCCCTTCTTCAGAGTTCATCTCATTCAGTCTTCTGTTTAATGGATTGATTTCCATGTAAGTTGAGATTTCTCTGTGATTCACATTGATCAGCTTGGAGATACAGTTACTGGTGCATGAATCCTGAAAAGAATAGATAGATAATCAATTAAAGGGATTGGGTAACTTTGCCTCAGATTCTAAAAAAATCCTAGATTTAGCTCATGCTGCAATCATAATTATAAACCTTTAGGTCATACATGTATCCCTTGACTTTTACAAGCCAATCGCCTGTCCGATTATAAAGATATCTATGATTGGAATTAGAAATTTAAGAAATTTGTTTTCTTACGGTTTTTATAACACTACAGACCATTGGGGAAAATGAGTGACGGTATGGTAAAACCGGTCACTCAAAGATTTTATACTTTTTTGAGGCACTTCATGATCATTTTGAAGCGCAATTTTTTTTAGGGCTTCAATATTATACCATATCCCAAACACTGATAAAAGGGCCATGCATCTCAGATTTAACATTGCTAAATGATGCCTTTAACACAAAAGATAGTAAAAAGACATGGATATTGAGTGATCCAATAACTTTCTTTAGATTATACATTAAAATGCTGGTTAAAGTGGTAGGGATCATCCTTTTTTTTAAATTGGCTGACAGTCTCCCGATATCAACACAGAAATAGCAATGCCTGCATTCTCTGGAAAGAACAATAATTTGCTCAAAGCAAAGTTCTCATAGCTAAAATTTATTTCTTTAAAGAGAAAAGTGTCATCTTCAAAATTATTCACCAAATAAAATGATAAATAATGACAATAAATTTGTAAATAAACCAAATAAAAATAGTATCAATTAATGTTTGCTGAGCCAGAATGATATTGTACTAATATCCTTTTACAGAAAATTTAGATCCTTCTGGCTCTCTTATAATGTAGTGTTGTTTTTGCATCTCAATCCAGAGTTGATAAAATACTATACCGCAAATAATAATGACCCCCCCAAAATATTGTTTTATTATGTTAGTGTCTGCATTGATACAGAACTATTAAGAGGATTCAAATTCAAATTCAAATTTATTCATGTTTCCAACAAAACATTACAAATCAATTATAAGCATTTAAAACAAATATAAGAAATACATGTTGGAAACAGAGGGTAAGTCCATAATGAAATTATTTCTTCTTTCTATTCAAACTCTCTGTAATTCACTATTTGAAAACCCTCCACAATCGTTTTAATAACGGCTTGCAAATCAAAAGGAAAAAAGAACTTGAAATTTTGGAAAAGGAAAAAAGAACTTGGAATTTTTGAGAAAAAAAAAGAAGGAGAGATTAGACTCACCTCAGCAGGTGTAAGAACCCTGTAGTTGAGATTCTGAACACAGCGTGTAAAACATGTCTCTGTAAACTGGTTGTACATTGACAAGAAATCCCTCAACTGCACATGGGGAAGATAAAATGACACATACAATGTATAAGTACATCTCAGTCTATGTTACATAGTCAATACTTCTGTAGACTGAACTCAATACTCGAGAGTAAAAGGAGACGCTAGTGTACACAGGACAGGTGCTAATGTACTTTCATACCGGGTGCAAATATGAGATTCCGTTGATTCTCTTTAATAAAATGCCAATTTTAGGGAGGCGTGAGCTCCGCTCAGTCCAAACCATGGTTACATCGCGTAACATCTGTGCGTAAAGTGAATGAAAGTATGGCTAGCCGTTCGCACAATAAAACCCGGAAGTGAATACACGTTATAGTCAATGGCAATATCGCGGAGACAACGTGCACTCCGCGATATTGCCATTGACGTGTATTTACTTCCGGGTTTTATTGTGCGAACGGCTAGCCATACTAGTCAATGGCAAATATCGCGGAGACAACGTGGCTCAAGCTGCAAGTTGCGCATAACATGCAAACGCTATGCATACGCTTGCATATCGCGCGATACAGCTGTTTGGCTAAATTTAGTAAAACAACATAACTCTGCGTGTACGTCTTTTTCGTCGATTCTGACCAAAATGATATGAATATTGCAGGGGGGGGGGGGGCTGTATCTTTTGATAGAAACATCGGTGAGACTTACATTTTAATTCAAATATCAAACAAAAATGGTGAAAACGATCCCAAATTGAACATTGAAAAATCGTTCAGACACCCTATCATTAGCGCCACAAGAACAGACCGCCTGGCCTGGGTGGCCTGGCGCCTACCGCATAACCTATGAAAACAAAACTAAACAAAACATAGATTCTGAATCATAGATCAAAGGATCAAAGCTCACAGCCGAGAGCTAGGCCGAGGCCGTGTCTGTGAGGATGAGGCGGGGTTCTGCCTCCAGCTCCAGCTTTGCATCGAGCTGATAAAGCCTAGATTTACTTCATCCCCACATGTACAAATCTGTGTAATGAATATGAACATTTCCTTCAATTTTTATTCAAACGTTCCCTGGCATATATGGCGTTCTTTAAATCTACTCACATTTCTTCTAGCATTATCTCCTTCCATCCTGTATCTCTTTAGCAAATTTATGGTAAAATCTGTCCGGTTAAACAGGTAGTTTTAGGCCTCGTTTTGTTTGGAAGGGTCCCCTTTGACTTTCGGTGACTTTCACATGTTTTGTTTGGTAGTCTTTTGTCAAGTCAATAATCAAATTACCACACGTACTTAGTGGGCGAGTATTAATTTTCACTAATTTTTGCCCCTAAAGTTTTAAATTGAAACTCGAAAGACAGAGGCGGCGCTCCCTGGGGGGGGGGAGGTTAGGGGCACAGTGCCCTCCATTTTTTACAAGTACCCTTAAAGTGCCCCTTTATAACATCAGAAATGTGCCCCATTTAGTGCCACTATTAATTTGCAATAAGTGTCCATTTTCCATTCTCATTAGGGCCCTTTTTAACTTTTTAACTCCTTTTAAACTCGGATAAGCTAGCGCACCTTATGTTTTCAAATGATGGCTTTTCCTTTCTAAGTAAGTGCCCCTTTTAAGTTCCCCTATTAAAAGAGCCCCTTACCTTTTTCATAACATGCCACTTTTCACCTATGAAAAGTGTCTCTTTTCATTATCATTAGTGCCCCTTTTCATTTTTTGGCCCCTATTCAAATCCGAAAAATACTTGTTTTACTTGAAAAATGCCCCTTTACCTCTTAATAAGTCATTTTCCTTCAGTCCTGGGCGGTGGAAAGCAGACATTAGAAGTTGAGAAAAATTCAAAGACAACGATCAAATATTATTCTATTCATATATTTATTTTTAATCAAGGTCCATAAAGATTTGCTTAAACCCTATATTGTAGGCTTACATGATACAGGGAGCAATTGCTTTGTATTCCTCTGGGATTTGTCAGGAGTTATATATATACAAGCCTAATCATTTTCATTATTGGACATTAGACATTATATAGAACCGAGTTCCCAATAAAAAGTATGTGTCTACAAGTATACACACCAATCCAAAGAGGTTAATCGGTTTATTTCATCATTGACAAATTATTGAAATGCAAAGAAAATATAAAATACTTTGATAATGCATGAAGAAGTAAAAAAAAAAAAAAAAAAAAAACATTACCGGTAATATAAATGTTATAATGATCCTTTTAAGAAATTATGTTGATCTTGTATATAATTCATATTTTTCGTTTTACTTGTTTTTTTAAATAGTCTATAACTCTATATGTATTTCGAAATGGAATAATAAAGTCCCTCTGAAGAGGTAAAGAGAAAAACAAAATGAAGAGCAGCAGATCGAATGCAATCAATGCATATTGAAATAAGGGGGTGTGTCACTGAGAACTAATATAGAAGAGAAATATTGATTTAATATGTCATGTTTATTAATTGGAACTTCCAAATTGTGGAATATCGACAATGTATTGTAATTATCATTTACGTGAAAGAGCTTAGGCCTAGACTCAGTCTCACCGATCCTATTAATAAACAAGTGTTTAATTTAAACACATGAGACTTGAATAAAGCTAGCAGAGGCGAGACATCTAGACTGGTGAATGTACTATCTTTGAGCATCGATGATCGAGGACGTTGTGGTAAAGGATGGAATGAAAATGGAGTCCCGTCTCTCTCATTTCGCTGTATTGAAACATGTACAATACATTACACGGCGCTGAGATTGAGTCTTTCTACGTGGCTCATATTACGATTTACGGCTGAATACCGGATAAATTACTCTTCATTTGAGGTATGTGAGATCATGTATTATTATTTGTTGTGTCCGTTTGGAATCAGACAATAATTATATAAGCTTAGGAATATCTAGAATATTTGTGAGGTTTTAGAACATTGTCAAACATGAATTTCAATTCAATCTTAGGATCTATACATTTATTTTGGAGACTGAGGCAGAGCTGAGCAGAGTAGAGTTTGGTGAATCAATCAATATGTGCATGCCATTGATTGAAGGTAGAAAGTGATTAAGGTATGAGTTGTGCATGTCTTTGGACAGACCCTGACCTGGAATGTGTACTTTGTAAGTGTGGATTTCAAAATATTATGCAGGAAATTGAATTTCATGGAATTATTAATTAATCTCCTTTTTGGAAAAATGTAAAAAAAACGGGAAAAGGTGAAGTTAAAAAAAAAGAAGACAAATATTAAGTTGAATTGAACTGTTGCGTTAGCTGATAGATTTTTGGGGGACATTTATTCAAAAGTATCAAGGACCGGTAACATTATGTTCTGTGATCAATAAGGGCGCTGGTCCGAGAACAAGGATCGTCCGCACAAACAAGGATCTCCTTCGTAAACACGGACATATGCGTCCGATAAAAATAAGGATCGTCCGCATTTTCGCTGATGATTCTGATTTCCGATCCCCCCATTGGTGATGCGAAAAAAGGATTCCTGATGCATTTTACATTGACTTTCTACCCCCTTTTCTACCCCGTTATGAACTTTATTCATTTTCAGAACTAGGAACCCCCTAGACTAGTGTATGTTGTTGCTATGCTAAATTACAGGACTTTTAAATTATAAAATGTATAATGAGCTTGTTTCTCCCAACCTTTTATTGTTTCTCCCAAACTATTATTGTTTATACTTAAGAAAACATAATTTAAAAAAAAGCATCCTGACGTAAAAACATCGGATTCAGAACTTGTCATTAAAATCATCATCGTTTTATTTGGCATTTACGTGGCATAAGATTCCTATGAGTTTTAGGCGCATAAATTATGAAAAGTTAGACAAATTGTTAAACATTTTTGAAATATTGGTTAACTAAAAACGGAAGATTCAAGCTTTTTACCAAAAAAAATCTTATGCTGTCAAAATTAGTGAATAATAATCACAGGACATGTATTTTTATATTTTTGACAACAAATAATTTTTCTCACTTATAATCAGTTGATGCTCAAATTACAGATTTCATTAGATAGATTGATGTACATTCCTTTAGAAAAGTGGAATAAATTTGATACAAAATTGTTGAATATGCAAACTTCAAACAACACTGTAATTGTATTTAGTTTAAAATGTTTGCTTATCATTGGATATTCATTCAGAACACAACATGAGGCATTGTGCAGCACATCATAATATCTTTTTAATGAAGACTTAAAATAATTCCTTTCAAGTTTCAATCATCAGAGCTGCTTTAGAATTTTGCAGTCATTCATGAGACATAACAGAATAATGGATATGAAAAAATTAGTTTCTACTTTTACATTTCTGCAACTATGAAATATGAAGCTATATAACAAATGTCCATTTCTAACATAGAAATTGAATATTAACTGCATGAACCTGAATGTTGTCATGTAACATTAGTTTAATATGTAATTCACCATTACAAAGTCTAAATGACACACAGATCCACCATTATTAATATGCAGTAAAGAGCATCCATTGTACATGTATGTATATGTATAAGCTGCAATGGTTCCTGTATTAAGCCTTGGGGAATGAGACATTTCAGTATTCAATCTAGTTGGTGGATGGTCTTTGGGTCAGGATCTACAGGTACATTGTATGAGCTGATTTTGAAAGATTTTCTGCATGTGGTACGCATTTCATGTACAATACAGAGAATTCAAAGATGTTAACAAGTTTTCAATTACCGGTATCCCTTTAAGAAATAGATAATTAGATTTTGCTTAGAGAGTAGAGACCTTATCAAAATACCAATATAAATGTATGTAACAGTAACCACATTTTAGTCTGAAGATTTCTATTACATGTACATGTACACCATGTGACGTACTTTCAATTCTACATTGAAGCTCATTGCCACAGTCAATTTAGCACATCAGAAATTACAGCTGTAGTGAACAAATAGATTAACCTTTCCTGGCTCAAAGGGTGTGATAGATTTAACAGTACATGTCTGGACTAAATTGGATGCAGTGTACAGTAAAATTGACATGAGACTTGATATACTATTTACAGGTACTAAGTTGAGTAAATTTGCACATGTGTGTGTTGTTTCTTTTTAAATTGGGTTTTATGACTCCTTTCAGTCGCATTGTATTTTTAAAGAATATACCGGTACTGTACATAGGCAGATTAGAATGCTCATCTACTGTTAGTTGTAACCCATGATACTATTTAAGTCTATAACCATTGTGACAAAATTTAAGGGCTGTCTGAATATCCTTTTCCTTATTCTGTATGATTGAACTAGGTATTTTATTATTAGTGCCATTATACTGCATTAATGTAAAGCTGCTTTTTTTTACAGCATTTATCCTTGTTTAATTGCTATGTGTAGTCAAGTACACAATGTACCTGTATATTTATGTAATAATTGCACAATATAGAATTGCAGCCATTATTATTACTATCAGTAATACTGAAATATGTTTTGCTCTTTTTTTCCAGTTAGATTCGTCACATGACTGTAATAAATTTGGACATTGTGGGCAACTTGTGACAGCAGCAGCATCAGCATAAAATTGAGCTTAAGATTGATTGTAAGGAGTGCAAGGCATACGAGAGGACATCAAGATGAGTCATGAGAACGGAGCTGGCTATGGAGAAGATGATTTGGATGATACCTTTGAGCAGGACCTTCACAACATGATCAGGGAGGGTGCAGGGGGTATCATGAACCCCCTCCCAGGTTCCACAGAAGGGGGTGGAGCTGGAGGAGGAGGGGCATCCCTTAATGTGAGTCAAGGAAATAATAGATTTACAGGAGTGGATCTGAACAGCCCTCAGAAGGGGAATCCCCCACCTTCAGCAATCAATGTCCATCCGAACCCTAATCTGGGTGCCAGGCTTGCAAATCCAAGAGGTAAGTTAGCATTTAACCCGTTCCCTTTGAGATTCTGATATTCCCAATTTCCCATATACTTTGTACACAGAGCACCCGGTGCCCGTACGCATAGGGTTTAGTTCTATACCATCAACTTCAATGCCAAGCACGCTTATAAGTACGGTAGCTCTTATTTTCACAATTTTGAAGGTTTTTTCATTTATTTTCTTTGGGGAAGAAGGATTCATTCATTTTTGCATGATGATTTTCTTCATTGGTCTTTCGGTTTCATCTTCTGGTTTATCTTTGGATAAGAGATAGTAGTCCAAGTATCTCCTTGTAAATTCACTTCATAAGTTGTGAAATATGAAATCTCTTGAAAATATCAATTTACGAATTATACAAACAATTATGAGGTGAGAAGAAGCAAGAAATTGTGTATGGGTATGCCAATAAATATAATGCATGAGAACTGAGTATTATATGATCAACAGTGGTGAAGTAGTTACTGCCTATTCTTCACTGACACAGATAATAAATTACAATGGAAAACAAATACAACACAATTTCATCACAATTATTAAGCAATCTTGTAAGTTACCTTAAGTGATACTTGGCAAAATCATTTTTGTTAGTTTTGTTACAAGACAAAATCAAGAATTTAGACAATGTTTCTTCACAGAGGCCCACTATATCAAATTTGTAATCATTCTTAGTCCTCTTACGTTTAGATTCAATTGATTTTGGGGACTTAAATCTAGATCATGAAGTATCATAGTTCTTGGCATCTCCGTCCTCCAGAATCCACGTAGGAGCATAGCCTACATGTACATGTTGATGCTCTTTCTGGTACGGTGTCTGGGGTCTGGCAATGTATTCCTCCAAACATGGTAATGCACACATGGTGTATACACGCAGACGTCAAAGTCCAGACCAAGCCATGGCTATGCATTAGCCATTAGGGGATCTCAGTATTTATTTATTTATTTATTCATGCAGTTTTAAATTAATGAAGTTAGCTATTGACAGGCACTTACTCCATCATAATGTAGTTTACATTGATATCCCTTCATTTCAATCCCTTCCCCAAAAAATTAATTAAAAAGTAATAAATGCTGTAATAGGAGAATGCCACTCACTTCTTGTCAATAGATCTAATTGTAGTGCTACTTAACAAATGCTTCCCCACCTCTTCCTCCTCCTTGCTTTCCTCATGAAAACACCCACCACATATTTCTCCTTTTTATTTTTAAGAGATTTTTTTCTTTAAAAAACGTTGTTGTTTTCGAATCATGCAGCATTTTGTTAAGTCATGAGCCCTGGACTGAATTTGAAGTGTCTTGTTTGTTATGGAAATGAATCATTGTGTAATAATTCATCACTGTTGATTACACTGTGGCATACATAACCATTGATAATTCAAGGTCCTCTGAAATTAGCTTTGTTCTTTATAATGGATATTGGATAATGTACTTTGAAATAGGCCTGAGTCGAAACGGGTCCCCGCCCGGGCCCCGACCGTCGAGCTGAAACCCGGTTTTTGGTTTTCGGGTTTCGGGTTTTTCAAAATTAAATTTCACACTGATATTTTGAAATATAGAACTAAAAATATGCAATTCACAAACTTATATTTCAATATAATCAAATAAATATGCTTTAGAAATAAATGGATATTGGTTTCAGTTGACGATAGGTGATTTTATCGCTCTAAAATTGAGGCTGCAAGAAAGGAATCACGCTTCGTGGTACCGATCGAGTGCGTTCAGAAACGGAAGTGGAAATAGACCCACTGAAGACAAGAGCAAGAAAGTGCCACACAGAAGACTAAAATGTTGATCAGACTATCGCAATTAAATCGTAATACTAAAGGCATTAATCTAATTGTCAAAATATATCCACAATATAATGGTTTACCCTTGATAGTTTGATGAAGGAAAATAAATTAAAGCTCTTGAAATAACATAAAATGCGGGTAGATCTATAACGGCAAGCACAAGTTACGAGTCAAGCTTGATATGCATGTTTACATCCCTGCACCGTCATCCGACCTGATCGGAACAATAAGCATTGAACCAATTAAAAAACATCACGTAAGACTTTGAGGGACTCCAATTCAACAAAATTACCGTAAAATAGTTATTTGCTTTGACAAATAATACTATAGATATTCATAATATCTTACAGAAATAATGATATTTCATGAGCTACGTACTCGATATCGAGTTCAGCTAGCCATCATTTTGAAATGAGACGTAGTTGTCATGCATGCAGCGCAGTAGGCTGTAGACATGCGGCAGCTCGCAGAGAGGGGAAAAAAAAATCACGTAATAGGCACGTCAATATCACGTGATCTCAGGCCCGCGCTTTTTTCCTCTCTCTGCTGCATACTGCCCTCTACAGTCTACTGCATGACAACTACGTCTCATTTGAAAATGATGGCTAGCTGAACTCGAAATCGAGTACGTAGCTCATGAAATATCATTATTTCTGTAAGATATTATGAATATCTATAGTATTATTTGTCAAAGCAAATAACTATTTTACGGTAATTTTGTTGAATTGGAGTCCCTCAAAGTCTTACGTGATGTTTTTTAATTGGTTCAATGCTTATTGTTCCGATCAGGTCGGATGACGGTGCAGGGATGTAAACATGCATATCAAGCTTGACTCGTAACTTGTGCTTGCCGTTATAGATCTACACGCATTTTTAGAACGAACGAAAGGCACTTCGATGTTATTTCAAGAGCTTTAATTTATTTTCCTTCATCAAATTATCAAGGGTAAACCATTATATTGTGGATATATTTTGACAATTAAATTAATGCCTTTAGTATTACGATTTAATTGCAATAGTCTGATCAACATTTTAGTCTTCTGTGTGGCACTTTCTTGCTCTGTCTTCAGTGGGTCATAGATCTATTTCCACTTCCGTTTCCGAACGCACTCGATCGGTACCACGAAGCGTGATTCCTTTCTTGCAGCCTCAATTTTAGAGCGATAAAAACACCTACCGTCAACTGAAACGATATCCATTTATTTTTTAAAGCATCTTAATTTAATTCAATTGATTATTTTATTGTTTTGAAAGCAGTAACTGTCCTTTCCATCGCATTATTAGAACAGCAACTTAATCTAACTCCCGCCGCTGCATGCACACGATTTTTAGTGTCAGTGCAGTGGTGAAAATTTCGGGTACCCGGTCCCCGCCCGAAATTTTCAAGTCAAACCCGGGTTCGGCAAAACCCGTGATGACTCAGGCCTACTTTGAAATGAGATATTAATTCTTTGATGCAATGACTCTGAGTCTAAATGATAAACCAACTGTTTATCTGTTTTTTGTAAAATCTGATCTACATGCATATGTCGTACGTGGGAGTACATGTCATTCACATGTATTTTGATCCTTATTGTTTTTGATGTTAGCATGCTGGTAAGAAACAAATTTTAATCCCTTATTTTTTTATTTAGAAAGAATTTCAAATAAATTTTAGAAGAGAACACGCTTGAAAAAGTGTCTGAATTAAATGAAAAATAGGGATGTTGTCTTTTGGTCCCAACGCCCCCTCCTATATTCAATTTTCTCCGTCGCCCACTCTGAATACCTACCGGTACATGTAGAGCACTGACAATATTCACAAGTCAGTCGAGTAGAACATGCATCCCCCAGGCAGAATATCGGAAAGTGCACCTACCGTGTAGCCGCTACGAGACGTCCCTTTAAGACGTGTTACGTTGCAATTCCCATGTGTTACCCCGTCTCCCACCCACTAAAGGAAGGATCTATGCATGATATTAATGAAGGGGGCAGTGATAGAGGGCGGATCTAATACATTGCTGTTAATGAATAGGGCAGTAGCTGGCTGGAGTAATTGGCAGCATGCTTGTCTAAACACATGGATGGGAGGCTGGATAGGTCTATCAAGCCATTGGGTCCTACATTGTATAGGATGATATTGAAGCAGGTGATTTCACTGTGGATTAGTGCACCTGCTAAGATGAACATGTGTATGCCCTTTAAAACTAGACAGGGCTGACACAGGGTCAGAAATATGCAGCAATAATAAAGATACATTATGGCCATTGTTAAAAGGGGAAGGGAGAATTTCATGACAGAATGAATATTACATCTTCTTTAACCCAATCCATTTTGACATACATGTACATTTTACGATGTAGATGTGTCAAACCATATGTACAAATACAATTCTTGATCTAATTAGTAAGTACCCGGGCTGTATTTTTATACTACATGTACGGTGTATGCATTTATTGTTGACTTGCGTAGAAGGAAAAAAATAGAATAGATTTTAGAGTAGTTTAAAGTAAACATGTATTGCTATGTTTATCGGCTGAGAACCGCCCCCTCCCCCCGTAATTGGGACGTGTACATCTACATGAGATGTATCATGTATCATGTATATTTTACACTGTATATTTTTTCTAATTGTATGTCTGTAAATCTGTAACCATATTTTTTAGTAAAGCATTTATTGCTTTGCTAGAAACATCTTTCCATAGCTTTATCTTAATCATATTTGGATGCATGTTGTATTAAACAAATTACCTTAGAATGATTTTGTTGATATCTTACAAAGCTGCCAGAGGCTCACAACCCTCACGTCTTGTAGGTTCATATGCAAATAGGCGCCCCTTCACAAAATGTAAGTGATGCTTTCCAATTTGATGGTAAATTGGAGACACTAACAGATGGGTAAAGAAATCAAAACTCCTAATAAAATCTTCTTACATATATGTGTGAATCACCTTCTTTTTTATTATCTTACAGGTATATACATGTACATGTAGAATATATATCAACCTAACCTTTTCTTTCTTTCTCTGGCTTGAGAAGGCATTGTTTAAGTCAGAGTCATTTAAAGAGAAAATCATATTTTTTTATCAAACAAAATTGATAATCTTATGAATTTAAAAATCTGCTTTAATAGAAAATCATAATGGAGTTTGGCAAAAAATAGGCGATGGATAAATGGATGTAGCATGCGCTCCGTATGGATTTTTAGAATGTAAACAGATATATTTTGTATGGTAATTGTTATTGCCTAAGGCCTTTTGTCTAGCTTTTCCATTTGTAAGCCATGGTATAAAGGCAGGCCATACTTGATGTGGCCAAATACCCCTCCATTGTAAATGCAAATTGATGCGTAACCTCTGTAATGATTGGATTAATTAGACTTGAATTAAATGCCATCTCTCCATTTGCACACACAGTATTATGGTATAGCCAGCTTTAATCATATTCTTTCATCTTAACAGGGAAATATGTATTATCTCTTCATCTTTTTCTAATTTTTCTCATTTTGGGGACTACGGTATTGATATTATCTCAGACCCATTAACCATTTCAATAGATCTCATGCATGCTAACATACACCATGTAGACTCTCACACCTGTTTGCATTTATCTTTTTTACACACACAGAGGGAGAGCAAGAAACTGAACGTAAGCTAACATCTGTACTGTTTATATGTAACACCATTCATTCATTTCGCATGCAGCCCATAACCCATAAATTAATGAATTCAAGCATTGCACTTCTGTTTCCTTGTTTTATTTGCATAAACCTATGATGTGTGTTTCTGGTAATTGCTATTTTTAGACATACATTGTACTTGTACATGTATACTATTACTCAATTAGAATGATGAATCAAACAAAAAGATTAAGATTGTTTTTTCTTGTTTACATTGTTAATTGTATGTTATCATAATAAGACTGTTATGCAGAACTCTAGTGTTTTATGTCATTTTTAATAGCTGCAATTTAGTGTTGATTTCTTATAATGATGGTTACTTTCCTCTTCATTTGAATGACCTGTATGAGAATGTATTGCAAACTTTGTTGTTTTGTATGTGACATGTGATGTACATGTTGAAGCCTGTCTACTATCTTTTACAGTTCCGTGCATAATATTTTCTACACGCAGCCTATGATTAACTGCACTGATTAACTCCAGTAATTTGTGACTGCATCCTGTAATGAAATTTCTAATATATTATCTTCTGATAGGTTTAAGATAAAGGGACATTACGGACATGTACTTGAATTTCAGATTTAAGATTTCAAACTGCGTAAAGGTAGATTCACATTCTGGGAATTCACTATATCAGGAAATTGTCATAATCAGATCCAAGCTTGCAACTTCAAAATAATTTTCAAATATGAATCTCTTTATTTCATTCTTAGAAACAGTTCAGATTTAGAAACAGTATTTCCTCCTTTATTAGGTTGTGCTTTTTCTTTTTTACTAGTTAGATGCTGCCTTGTGCCTATATTACTTGCTGCTTAACTGTTTTTTCTTGTTGAAAAACAAAAGGGTTAACTCTGCAATTGCTAAATGTAAGAAGTTATTCTTTCCAGAATCCCTGGAAAAAGAGAAAAATAACCATAGAATCGTTGTGATCCTTATAGTATGAAGAGGAATATTAATATAGAGCATGTTTTGTACGTGATTGATGAGTACCAGTAAGTTTCACAAATTGTCCTAACGATTTCAAGTTGAACTGTAATCAATAGGCGTAAAATGTATTAGACTGGCAATGCTATGTTCATGTACATATTGTACTTGATACTAGGTGCTTTCAGCAACAAGGAGTTAGATACAAAATTCACTCATAGAACTGCTACATGTAAAAGAAAAGGATATTTCTGTGTATTTCTTTCATAGACACAGTATGCATACATGTAGTCTCGAGTGCATTAACCAAAAATTGATTTCAAGATGTAAGACCATTACATGTTGGCCTTAAGGCAGTGCAAACATACAGAAGCTACTTGTTTATATTATGATTGCATTATATGATGTTTGCATTGTGCCAGTAGACGTATGATTCATACATGTCCTTTAATGCACACATGTTGTAACATTTTTATTAGTACATTTCATGTTTTTTTCTTGCCTTATATTTGTCTGCTCCTACTATTTCTTTGTCATGTACATGTATATATGGTACTGATATAAATGTTTATCTTAACCATAACCCATTCCTATCAAATTTTAATACATTTTCCATTATTAATATGTTCAATAAAATAATATTATAATAAGGAGAGCTGTTTTGTACGTACATGTATGATTTTTGTTGTTGCCAAAAATAAGCTTGTTGAAATATTTATAATAATAATAATATAAACAATTTATATAGCGCTTGTGACATTAAAGTTCAAAGCGCTGTACACAAATCAAGAATACTTCAAGAAAAATCAATATTACTAATAGAATAAACATTTCTTAAATTACCAAGAAAACAAAATATTTATTCTTGATACATGTAAATGATTTAAAGATGATGTTCATTTTGTTTATATTAAGAAAGGTTATACAAATTGTAATCTTTATTTTCATTGTTTCAATATAGTCTTTGATTTATTGAAAATAATGTTGATATGGCAACCAAATGTTTTAAGTTATACTTTACAAGTTTACATGTACACCTGTAGTTGATGCCCATGTAAATCAACAACATTTATTAACACGAGTAAAATAAAAAAAGAAGTAAATGTATGAATGTCAAAAAGTCTGTTACTACCAAACACTATCATCACCGTTATCATATATCTGTTAATACTTTCCAATCCTCAGCCTCACCGATCCCATTCCAGAAACCACCAACCGAGAGTCCAATGGATGAACAAGGAGGCCATGGATACAGCAATCCCATGTCTGGTCCTAATGGAGACCAGACCTCATCCGCCATGGCTAAGGCTAAACTTGATAGCTTTAAGAACTGGAGTATCTCAACATACAAATGTACTAGACAGATGGTGCAGGTAAGTCTGAGGGTAGTCTTTGTTACGGTAGACCAAGGTTCTGGTCCTAATGAGGACAGGACAAGGTCTCATCACCCTTAACCAGAATAATTTAAGAACAGGAGTATTTCAAGATACAAATGTACAAGACATATGATACAGGTAAGAGAAAATAGAGCATTCCAGATATTAATTATAGAATTTCACCATAACCGCCTCCTGATAATTATATTTCCTTTTCATTCCAAAGTTCTCTGGTCTCTGGTCCATTGTACATCGCGTTGGTCAAATGAAACACGTTCCTAACCAAAAGCTTAATTGAACATGGGACCAAAAAGGACTGCAATTTTCCCATTGGTCCATTGAAAGCTTGAATCTGATAGGATGTAGGACCAATGGGGTGCGGAACTAGAGATGTCTAGTATAGCCAAGGATGATTTAATTCTGTGTGTAATTTTACCCTGGAGGAAAATAAAAGTCTACCATGGTGGTTTATCATGGGGTGGCTACATGTATGAGAAAAGCATATTTGTATAATTGATGAGATGCTCTGATCATCATCTTTACAGGAGAAACTTGGTAAGGCCTCCAGGACTGTAGACCTGCAGCTAGAAGCCCAGATAGAGGTCCTTCGGGACACGCAACGGAAGTACGCTCACATTCTCAAGCTCACCAGAGCCCTCACTAATCAGTTCTACCTGGTGGTCCAGACACAGAGGTCCCTCGGTGATGCATTTGGTGAGCTCTCGCAGAAGTCACTGGAGCTTCAAGAGGAGTTCTCATATAACGCTGAGACACAGAAATCACTCTGCCTGAATGGAGAAACACTGCTTAGCGCCCTCAACTTCTTCACATCAAGTGTAAGCACACTCTGCAATAAGACCATGGAAGACACGCTGCTCACGGTTAAGGCCTATGAGTCAGCAAGGTAAATAATTATTTTACAAATTTGGTAATAATGATTATAAATATATCTGTGTTTAGTATTGAGCATTTGATAAAGAACACTAACAGCATTTCAGGTAATGTATTCCCATCAAGTAAACTTCACCATGTCCTTATTAGTCATTCTCCTACTTCCCTGTACTAAAATATTTTATGGAATTCCACCAGAGAAAATGATATTACCTCACAACTGAGGAATATGCTGAAAGAAAACAATGTCCTGTATAAAGCTCTTCTCATGAGTATATCATAATAAGTGATTAATAGCGATAATTTACACTCGTCAGTCCCAAGGGATACTCATGCATATGGTGCCTACAAAGTATGCTTGTAACTATGGCTATAACCAAGCTGACCTAAGCAGACCTGCCAACCAGTACGATTTAGGCGTATTTCGTACGATTTTTAGAAGCAAATACGACAGTACGATTTTCCTCAATAAAATACAATTTCGGGAGGTATTTTTTTTTTTGTGTTTGTGCCATTTTCAATGGCAAAATGCCCATTCTGTCCTGTAAAGTATCCTACAAGCATCTCACATCGACAATTTGGGATGTTCATTAGTTTATCAAACTCCCCAGTCGTGACAAAATCATGCATATTCAACCAATGATCCATAACAAAAATTCTTCCTGTATGTAGTAACTGTAAGAGGCATTGATCTGCGTAACAGTCCATGTTTTTTGTTAGGAATATAACTTTTGTCAGTAAAATACAACATCTGGGATTAAAGAATACAGTTTTTGAACTCCACAGGATGGCAGGTGTGCCTAAGGCACAGAAAGCATCCAAGGTATAGCTTCCTGCCGGAAACACATTTACTTCACTTGGGTTAAGAGTTTCGATTTAAGACTGTTGATCACAAGGTCCGCGGTTCGAGTCCCGCCGCGGCACTAATGTCCTTTGGCAAGACATTTATCTACATTTGCCACACTCCACCCAGGTGAAGTAAATGGGGGACCTGGTAGGAATTTATTCCTTGAAACGCAGAGCGTGTGACAGCTGCACTGCTAAAGCCAGGGTAATTATGCTGCATTATTGTAGAGTGCTTAGAGACTTCTGATAAAGTAAGTGTTAGGCACTATGTAAGCAAATATAGTTATTATGTGTAATTAATTATTATAATTATTGCATTATGTCCATACAGGATAGAGTACGATGCATACAGAGCAGACATGGAGCACTTGTCATTAGCACCCAAAGATGCCCAGACCCAGGCCAGACTTCATGAAGCAAGACAGAAATATGAAAACCAGAAAGAAAAGTTTGATAAGCTAAGACAAGATGTGTCAGTCAAACTCAGATTCTTGGATGAAAACAAGGTTTGTAGAATGGCCAAACGTGCTAAGAAGTGTTGGTAAATGATACGCAATGTTGTGTTCTTGTCATCGCTTTTTGTTTCGAGAGAGCTGCATTGGAACTGAGTTATTCTTATTTGTTGATTATCATAACAAATGTTAAATACTTTACTTCACTTTACTGGTAACAGCAAAATTGAAAGAATTTTTTTCAAATCTTGTTAAATTTTACAAGTAATCTAGTAATATTTTAAACCACAAATTTCACAAGGGCATCATTACGGCATATTCTGTACCATTCAGGCCTGATAATTACCTGATATAAATCGGTTTCCCTATTTTTTGTTTCCCCCCAAATTTTGTTTTACTCAAAATGGGGAATGTTGGATGCTATTTCTTCCCCGAATCCTTTTTTTTTTAACTCAAGGGGGGGGGGGGGGGGGGGGTGTTGTGTGTTTTTTAGTGCTCACCATCACCCCTGATCATTTGACCCTTTTCGCCCTGCTTCCTACTGCCCTTTGTTCCTTCTTTCTTAATCCCTTACTTTGTATTCCAGAGCACTTTTGAAGCATGTAGGAGCATTATAATATAATATGTGATGTACGAAAATAGAATATTACCATCTCACTCCATATGTTTATGGCACAAACTCTATCAGATATTTTTTCCAAACCATCCTGGAAGTACCTTTTTTTAAATAGAAATTATATATTGCATCCTATTTTTCTTCAATAAAGAGATAATTTGAGGAGGCGCGATAGCTCAGTCGGTAGAGCAGTGGTCTCGTAACCCGGTGACCCGGGGCCCGAAACCAAGTCGATGCGTTAGTGCCCTTTGGTAAGGCATTAATCCTCATTACCAGGTCCCTCGGAGAGGAGCTAAAGCCGCCAGCCGTCTGGTTGCTTACTAACAAGCATTTATGCTTTCTTAGCAGCCAGGTAAAATAACCACCACCACAAGATTTCAGCAACTATCTTTATTTCTTGTTGTTGATGTAGGTGAAGGTGATGCATAAGCAGTTACTGCTGTTCCACAATGCTGTTTCTGCATACTTCTCTGGTAATCAACAAGCACTTCAAGCAACGCTCAAACAGTTCAACATCAAGCCTAGAGCACCCAGTGAGATGCAACCATCATTCCTTGAGAAACAGTAGAACAAACAAACAACCATTTATCATCTACCCTTGTTCTACCAATCACTGATCAGTTCACGTGTGATGCAAGATTCGGGGTTTGTTTGATCCATACTGATGACATTTTGTCTCATTGTGGAGAGGTAAATGAAGACGTATTGTAGAGCAGTGCCTGTGTAAACAGGAGGCAGTGTAGGAGTGAGAAAATATTCAGGTACGGTCAAACCTGCTTTAGTGACCACCTGTCTACAAGGACCACATTTTTTGTTTCTCCAGATTATGGTTTCTCATTGAATCTTGTACTAAAGGAACCTGTCTACAAAGACCACCTGTCTAAAAAGACCACTTTTTGTGTTTCCCTTGGGCGGTCGCTGTGCACAGGTTTGACTATACCTCCTTTATATACATGTCATTGTCAAATGCCACTGAAATTTCAGTCAATAGGAATCCAATAGTAATGAGAACCTTCATTTGATTTTCAGAGTTCTGCTTTTATGGAAGAGGCCTCTGGTGACATCCTGCCCCTGCTTACATGAATAGCAAATGTAGATGCCACTTTCTTAAGAGATTATTTCCCACTAGTTTACAATCCTGTTTTCTTATTACATTGGTTCCATTAGACTAACTTCAATTGTAATTGTATATAATGTGCAAGATTTTTTTAACATATCAACATTCCGTTGCACACTAATGGGAAAGGACAAAGTGGTGTTTATAGACAGGTGGTCTGTGTATAAGGTCCCTGTTCATCCAAGTTTGATGAGGAAGACTGCTCAAAGGTTATATGAAAAATACAATCTTCAGTAATGTAATCTCATAATGGTATTCTGTATCACATATTGTGAGCTCAGTGATTGGTAGAACATGGGTTTGTCTTTAAAAAAACATATTCTTGTGTATTCTTGTGATTGCTTTTTAACTTTATCTTGTATTCGTTGGGAGGTATATGTGATATTTCTTCCTGTACATACTCAGAGCTGCCCATAGGAAGTGCTTAGTGATTATTTCTAGTAGAATACAGGTATCAGATAAGTTGTTTGTACCATGCTTTTCGTTACAGCTTTGATATGTTTGGCACTTTTATTCCAGAATCCTTTCATAGATATGATTTGGTTTTCATCTTAGTCCATCACTCAAGAATAATAGTCTGAAAATTACTCTATGCATGTATAATTGTGCCAAATATCTTTAAACAGACCTGGGATAAGCAAATGAACAGGAAGAAAAGTCTGTGGTTACTCCAGACATACTGGCAGATTAACAGTTAAATAGTGTTCCAAATCAGAATTTTTAGTGTATTCTTATCATCATTAAAGGGGGGCGTGGAATCAGTAGCATGAAGCAGTAATTGCCCAGGAGTATGTATGTAATCAGTAGCATTCTCTTTCCAATCTAGAAATACTACACATGGAACTATTCATCTTGTGCAAGTGTGTTAACGCCTTTGTCTTTTTGCATGCCTTAAATTGATATCTTTTGACAAGCCATTCCAAAAATGTGTATGAGTTACATTATATCCATAGCTTTTTAGTTTGCTTTGAGTAATATAGAATTAAATTGTTGTATATTGGCATAGTTCTATAGTTTTTGAAAAGTACTAGCTATAAAATATCCCTCAAAGATTTGCTATCAGGTATCGACACAAAAAGTGAGATGTTTAGAAATATTCATCTCCTTTAATCAGAAAAAAACATTTAATTTGTTTTGCTTATTTATGTAATCTTCAAGTTTAGTTTGTTTAGTATTAATTCCATCATATAATTTCAAACAATTTATGTTTATATCATATGTTGCTTAAGAATATATATATTCAATTGATAGTATACATGTAGTATATTACCCCTTCCCTTTCTAGCTTTACCATCTATAACAAAAGTGTACAGTGTAAATGACAGTTATTGAGGTCTGTACAGTACTTTTTCAAAAGATGTTATCATCACTGCTGAGTGAAACTTGTTCATTGTACTTCAATTAATTTGAGGGTTCAAGAAACGTTTTTTAATTTGTTATGTACTGATGACTCGAGGAACATTAGGCTGTGAACCCTGCGCAAGAAAAAAGCTGAATGCCCTAAGGAGCTAGGGCATAACATAGTAATAAACCCTTGCTAAAACAATAACATGTTTACAATTCTTATAATAGATCAGTGCTTCAACATTTTTCTTCAGAAAAGATAACGTGCTCCTTACAATAACAACAGAAAGGGCTGCAGGAGCTATGTGTGGATACATACTGGTAGTATACCAGTGTCATAATTAACTAGCCATACTCCCACAGCAATGTATGTAACTTTAATATGTAGAGCTTTCATTAAAAGTGCAGGAAAGGGACTGAAGATGGTATTAAAACAATCCTGATAGATTGTGTATGTAGGGCTTGATACAAACAGTAGTCATGAACACATTGGACTCCCAAAGTTTCATACAAGACCCCCAAATTTGTAAAAATGTTGACAGGGGGTATGTTGGACATTGGAAGTCTCATATTTCACTCTGGACACCAATAAATCGTGTGTTGAGCCTTGCATTATTGGCCCTGTTATCTCCCTATACAAACTTGTTTTCAATTAGATGGTCAGATGAAATCTGTCTATGTAAAAGCAATAACTTGAATTTTGATAATTCCTCGACTATTGATATTAGTATTTTTTTTTTTAAATGATGAGGTGTAGAATTTCCTGTGAATGTTAAAATTATTTGGATAATTTGATGAACCATTTCCACATGAGTGATTAGGTGTTTTAGGCAAACATCTTCAGATTATAAATTCAATATTGATGTGTGCTGAACAAGTGTCATACAATGATGTTTTGGATGTTTAGTGGGATTATTAATTTTGGTACATAATTTCTTCTCATATTGAAATTCTTGGTGCTGGTCTGATGTTTAGAATCAGTATTATTTCGACACCTATTAGCTTGCCCTTCTGTGGAAAATGATTTCTTGAAGCTAACCATTCACAAATTTCTTTTCATCTGGATATCAGATGATCGACCCCATATTTGTTTCTCTTCATCTTTTATACTATCTTTGCATTGTTTATTTCCTATTGAATTTAAAATTGTGATATAGACATATTCAAAAAGTTTATTATACACACTGTATGTATATTTGAATTTTTTCAACATTTTCTTTGAAAAGGCATTCATGTTTTGATTTCGGCGCTGCTTTTCATTATTGTTGCTATGATGGCTTCTTTCATTATAAGTCTCTATGCTTGCTTTTAATTTGTAGTTTGGATTATTTACTCATCTTTACTCTCTAAAAAGATCTAGCTTACTCTCACGGCTTCTATGTAATCTATGTTTTTAAGATTCTGGTTTAAACTTATACTAAGTTTTCATTTTGAGTTGAGTATCAGACATATAGTAAGAGCTTATGTTAGGACAATTAATGTGTAGCTTTATATCGATACTATGTATTATTTCTAACTTTCTTTATGAAAATGGCATATTTCACAAGGGAAATATTGATTATTTATGTTACATATGTCTAAAGAATGGACAATAAGAATTACTCAAAGAAGTTTACAATTTTTAATATTGGACTCAATAAGAAAATTAAAGATTTTCTGAACTAATATGAAATGGAGGGGAAAAAAGGAGATATTCCTATGGACATTTTGAGTATATTAAGTCTAAATCTGTTAATTCCTTATGCAGATGATGGTAGAAGTTTTCCTTAGTGCTCCTTACATCAATAAAAATATTTAAATTTAGATAGATGTGAATTCATTTATAGTAACATTATAGTTGCAATAACATACTATTGTCTCTGCCTATATTTCATTCAATGTTTGTCACACCTAATACATTCCTGTAAATAGGTCTACTTGGTTCAGATTGGTTTTAGAAAGGGATGTGGAAAAAAAAGTTATATTAGAATCTCTGTTGATAGTGCTTTACAGTTTAAAGGAAAAACAATTTTGATTTTTATCTTTTTGAACTGTTAATGCTCATTTTTCCTGTTTTTCTCTGTCAAACAGTGCAATGTTATCAAATTATTCTTTAGACAAAATATTAGAAACTATATTTCATTAATAAGATTTGTGTGTTGAAAGGGGCTATGTTAGATTTATATGCTTTGTAGAAAGCTGTATAAATTAATCACATCTGTACAGTTCATGATAAAATCTATTTCAATCATGTTGATATGATCACCAGTCCTGCAGTTATATTTTACTCTTTCGTCTGTTAAGAACCAGCAGGGCGCTTACTTATATACTTTGATACAGAGTTAACCCCTGTCTGGTTCAGAGGATTTGTAGTTCAATTATATGTTTATATTACCTTCTTAGGTTTATGAACGGCCAATCCATCCACTTTCAAGCATATGAAAATATTGGACATGGTCATTAATGGGAAGAGCTTGTAATATCAGACACTGTTTTTTCTCCCTTTTTTTTTTTGATGGAGATTATGTGCTGGATTTTTTTTTTTTGAATAACAAGGAAATGGCTGAAAAGGTAATAAAATCTCAAAACTTGACATTTCTGGTCTTATGTGCACAACAGAAAAGAAAGATAGTTTGTGTGCATTATGATGGAAAGACTTTCATTCATATTCTTGAGAAATGATGAGGATATATTCTTCTGTGCTTGGCTAATAATTCTTGGTCTTGATGATATGGCAGATATTTCTGTCTCTGAATTTTACGAGTGGAATTGTCCGAATAACAATTCTTGGGTTAAATTTTATAACATCACTTTCTTTTTAATATGATTGATTTGTCCATATAAGTTGAATTAACATTTTTAAAGAAAAACTGTAGAGCTGTTTAAACCATTTGTGGATAAAATAATAAAGCCAGTAGGATAATAAATTTACCAATAATTTTGATATCTGACTTACATGAATTTGAATTAGTGGGACTGGTAAAATGTCATAATAATATATTTGATTGTTTCAATCAATTGATGTACATAGAATTGTGTATGGTATACCTTGTGTTCCTACTTCTTGAATAAAAGTCTTTTTCTTATTGCAAAATAGAAAAGAAAATAGTACTGCATTATTAATTTGCATTGGTTTTTATTGGTTTTTAAAAAAATGTTGATCTAGTTCATGTGTATAATAAGCATAATCCTTTTACTTCTGGCCAATTTGAAATTAATGTACCGCTTACGTACATGTTTAGTGATATCAATTTTCTTATTGTTTG